CACTTGTGATTTTCTGACTGTTAGTTGGAGATAAGAATCTCATAGCCTTCCCTGCCCCAGGCTGGCTTTAAACTATGATCCTAGCCAGGCGTTGGTGGCTCACATCTGTAATCCTAGCTCTCAGGAGGCTAAGGGCTGAGGATCACGGTTCAAAGTCAGCCCGGGCAGGAAAGCCCGTGAGACTCTTTATCTCCAATAAGCCACTAGAAAACTGGAAGTGGCACTCACCTTGAGCTGAAGAGCTGAGGGACAGCGCCCAGGCCCAGAGTTCAAGCTCCACAACCGACAAACCTTTCTCCTTAAATTTCAGCCTCCTGAGTAACTTGGCTTACAGGTGTGAGCCAGTGGCTCACTAAGCCCAGCCAGCTTAGTTATTGTGAGATTCATCTGTGTGGCTGTCCATTCTGAGAATATGTCATTGGGTTCATTAATACACCTAATGAGCATTGAGGTGTTTTCAATTTGGGGACACTGAATGAAGATGCCATGAACATTTTCAAGCAAGTGTCTTGTGTGGGCATTTACTTTCCTTTCTCATAGGCATAAAATCTCAAACCTTATCACCTTTAGTAAGGCAAAGAATGAGCAATTAGGGGACACAGGTAACACTAGATGGCCTAACAGAGGACCCAAGCAGAAGTGTCAGGCATTTGTGGCAATGTATTTGACTACAGGCTATTGCCTTTTCTTTAAACCTCTCAGTGGCACAAGAATTTGAACTCTGGGCTTTGCACTTCTTAGGCAGGTCTCTTATCCTTGAGCCATACCTCCAGTCCTGATTTTTGCTGATTATTTTAAAGGTACTGTCTCACTCCCTTCCTGGATGCGTGCTTCCAGTTGTAGCTAGGATAATGGATATATGCCACCAAGTCTAGCTCTTCAATGAGAAGGGGGGGGGGTCTCCTGAATTTCCCCCGCCCTGTGGCCTTGAACCACAGTCCTTCAGTTTCAGCCTTCTAAGCAGGATTACCAGCAAAACCATTGGTGCACCTGGCTGGCTATTTCCTTTCTATGAGTTTTCCATTTCTTTTAGAATGAAGTCCTGATTCCTTCCTTTCCTCTCCTGACCTCTCCTAATTATACCTTGAAGAAGATGTAGAGGATTTGGTACTAGGACTCCCATGTGCATTCCACATGCATTATTTTAATCCTTCTAGGACCCTCAGAGGAGCCATGGCTATTAGCATTGTTGTTGCTGCTGCTGTTACTGCAGTGCTGGCAATTGAACTTAGAGCATGTTAGGCAAGTAGTCTGCCACTGAGCCTGAGACATCATTATTATCCCCACCAAACATCAACAGAAACAATACTCAGAGTGGTTAAGGGACTTGCCTAAGATTGCATGCTAGTAAGGGATGAGTTGGATATTTTCAACTACAATATTGCTAGCTTTCCCTCATTGTAGTGGTGGGTTGATTATATGTGGAATATAAGATGCCATTTTAAACTGTTCTCCCTTATCTAGCTAGTTCTTGTATTCCTAACTTAGTGTGTCAGTCCGTGGCCCTTCTCTGGTAACCCAGAGTCAGGTCACTCTGGACCATGTCTCCAAGCATAGGTGCTTCTCACATAGCCTGCCACCTCTGCATCTGCTGCTCTGGTTTTCTACCACTTACAGAATTCTGGGTGCTCAGCAGTGACTGTTGCATGGACTTTGTGAACGAGTGAATAATGAATTACATGATCAGATGTATTTGTCATAAGCCTTGTGAAGGTATTTATAGCAACCTTATTGACTGATCGACAACCTTGGTGTTATTGAAATTTATTTATATCTAGTAAATCTCCTGAGTCTAACTTTTGGTGAGGGCAGAATTGGGATTTGAACACAGGGCCTTGCATACTTTATAGGTAGGCATTCTACCACTCATTTGATACCTGCTCACTTCTTTTTTTTTCTCAGTCCAGTCGTGGGGCCTGCACTCTGGGCCTAGGCACTGTCCCTCAGCTCTTCAGCTCAAGGCTAGCGCTCAACCACTTTAGCCACAGCACCACTTCTGGCTTTTTTCTTTTTGCTTATGTGGTACTAGGAATCGAACTAAGGGCCTCATGCATGCAAGGCAAGCGCTCTACCACTGAGCCACCTTCCCAGTCCGAGACCTGCTCACTTCTAACTGTACAATTTAATGAGTCTTGACAAATATATACAGTCATGTAACCACAGACACAACCAAGATTATTCCCATCATTCTAAAATTCTAAAACTCCTCCTCTACCTTAGTCCCTAGTTATCACTGTTCTGATTTTCTTTCCTTTTCAAACCCTTCCCCTCATTTTTCCACCCCTTTCTTCCTCCCCCCTTTTTATTTTTACCACATGCACTTTTGGTGCTGATACTGGGGCTTAAACTCAGGACCAGGGTGCAGTTACTTTTTCCCCTCAAGGATGGCACTCCATTGAGCCACACCTTCACTTCCAGCTTTTTACTGGTTAATTGGAGATTAAGAGTCTCACAGACTTTTCTGTCCAGGCTGGGTTTTAACCATAATCCCTAGATCCTAGCCTCCTGAGTAGCTAGAATTACAGGCATGAGCCATTGACACCCAGCATGGTTCTGATTTTTCTGCTCCTGGAGGTTTTTTGTTTGTTTTTGCCTCTTCTAGATTTTAGATTTTAGATCAGTTTACATGTTCTATCTATCTATCTATCTATCTATCTATCTATCTATCTATCTATCTATCTATCTATCTACCTATCTATCTATCTATTTATTTTCATTCATTTATTTTTCCTGATCCTGGGACTTAAACTGGGGGCCTGGGTACTATTCCTGAGTGAGTCTCTTTCTGCTGAAGACTAAGTGCTCTACCACTTGACTCACAGCACCACTTCCTGCTTTTTCTGCCTAGTTTATTGGAGATAAGAGTCTTACAGACTTGGCTGCACCAGGCTGGCTTTGAACTGTGATCCTGAGTAGATTATAGGCATGAGCCAGTGGTACCTGGCTAGTGTATAATCTTTTGAGTTTATTTTATTTAATGCTTTGAAAGGCATCTCTATTGTTGAATGTTTCAGCAGTTCATTGTATGTTTTAAAAACCATTTTAAATTTTTTAAAAATATTCCAGAAATAATTAGCACCATTAAAATTTAGATGGGATGGTGAGAGCAACAATTCTCCAAGTGTGGCTCTGCACTTGTAAGGTTCCCAAGACCCCTCGCAGGGTCTGCATGATCAAAAATGATTCCATAACACTGAGATATAATTTGCCCTTTTCACTCTTGAAGTATACAGGGAGTTTTCCAGATGCTCTATGTCATGTGTCACAACAGATTGAATGCAGAGGTTAATAGGAGGATCCATCTGTCTTCTATTGAGCTGTAGGTGTATTATCAATACTATATGAATGTACTATATGAATTAATGAACGTGTGGGGTGGGGTGGGTGGGTACTGGCATGGTGTCCAAGGCCTTGTGTATGCTAGGCAACGATTCTACCACTGAGCTACATCCCCCAGCCTCCTGTAAACATTTTGAAATGCCTTAGTTTCCATTGCTTGTATAATAGATAATAATAAATATAAGCCACGCAAACAGATGTTCTTGAGGTTCCTCAATTTTTAGTGTAAATCAGAAGTGTGAGTCCCTGGGCTTGAAAACCTGTTTGAGGATTTGTTGATAGTGTTGAAAGATCAGAAGAGGATCTTGAGATCTTGGAGGTAATGGCCTGGCCTAAAAGTCCTGGAGAAAGATCCTACCGGATAGGTCCAAGGGGCCAAACAGAAATGCCAAAACAGGTATTGACAGACACAGTCTTGCCCTCAGCCCTCTGTAGTTTCTAAGGACCTGGTTGGACAGGTTCTTGGCTGCACATGCTTCCTACGTGCAGCTAATGAGTAACTAACCACAGAGCTGGTTATCAGAAGGGTGACTGAAAGACCCAGAGAAGCCTCTGTTGGATGAGATGAAGTGGCAGCGGGGGTTTGATGTCAGGTGGGGTGTTTTCTTTTTTTTCAGGGTGGGGGAGGGCAATGGGCAGAGAGGAGTATGAATTCAGGGCCTTGCGCTTGCTAGGCAGACCCTCTGTCATTTGAATCAGTCTGATTTTGCTTTAGTTATTTTTTAGTGTTAGATGTCTTGACCGGATAAAGCATTCTACACATGTCCAAGAGGGCAGGAAAAGTTCAATGGCAGAAAGACTGGCAGGCTGACTATCAGGACAGAGAGCAGCAGCTGCCATTAAACGGGGGAGGGTAGCTATAAGGAGCTGGTGGTGGAGAGTTTTACTAGGGGTGGGGGTACTCTGCAGTCTGTGTTGTATGAGATGTGGAGTTTGTGAGGTACATGTGAACAGGGGATTTTGTTGTGGCAAGGCTAAGATTTATGATTGTACCTGTCTCTGTCACCCAATAAGAGAAGGCCTGAGTCAGCTAATTTTTGTGAAAGGCCTGTGTCACTAGATTTCAGGCAAAAACCATGCTTTACAGCAGGGCCTAAGATAGTGGAGTGGCTCCTAAGGTGGAGGAGGTTAGGCTAACAGATTGGGTCCCGCTCCTACCTATAGCTTTCCCTTGTCTATAACCTCTCTCATTCTCACATGGCTAAGTGGAGTGCTTTTAGAGGGTCCATTATTTCTGTTAGATTCTTAACCTAAGAGTGAATATAAGACATCAACAGGATTATTTCTTTGGCTTTCAAAGATAGATAGATAGATAGATAGATAGATAGGAAAACAACTTCTCCAATTTATCTAATAAGCTCAAAAGACTGTCTCAAACTTTTTGTTTTGGGGAGCTTAGCAAAGGTTTATTTAGTAATTCAGGACAAAGTAGGAAGAAATAAAAAAGGAAGAGAACAGAGTACTTCCCCATACTTGGCTAGACATAGAACAAGAAGCTCCTCAATTGTTAAAAGCAGGAAGTAGGAAACTACTTTTATAACTGGCAATATGCCTGTAGGAAAAGATGCTTGGGGTCCTTGTTTAGACACTGCCAATGCTGTTAGTAAACTATGGGAAAATTGTACCAACTACCTTTTGACTTTTAGTTGTTTCTCTCACAGGCGAAAGGGACTGTGGTTCCGGCTGAGGAAGATACTTCTCTGTGTTTTGGGGTTCTACATTGCCATTCCATTTCTTGTCAAACTATGTCCTGGGATACAGGCCAAACTGATTTTCTTGAATTTTGGTAAGTGCTGTTAATTTTTCTTTAATTTTACTTAGGATTTACTCTTATGATGATGTCTGAGTTTAGCAAGTGTCTTTTTATTTTGAGATTAACATGACACATAGTAAAATGTACAAACCTTAAATATATTTATGTACGTCATTAAACATAAGTATGTACAGCATTACTCAGCAAGTTCCCTGTGCCCCTTCCTAGGTGAGGAACATTGTAGAATGGCATTGCCCTACAGTGCTTCATTCTTGTCTCTGATGACGGTACTGCATTGGGGTGTGGGAGGTCTTTTTTGAACTAAGGTGAATAAAAATGTTGACAATGTGAAAAGTTGTCCAAAGCTGACATATTGGAGTTGTAACTTTTGCAGTCTAGAAAGTTGATGAAATATTCTTGGAAAAACATGGCCACTGGGAAAATATCAAACCTTTAAAAAAAAAAAAAAAAAAAGTTAGGACTTAAAAAAAAAAGAATTTATTCTTTTTTTGGAGGGGTGGGGGGGTCTGGTCATGGGGCCTGAACTCTGGGCCTGGACGCTGTCCATCAGCTCTTCAGCTCAAGGCTAGTGCTCTACCACTTGAGCTATAGCACCACTTCCAGCTTTTTTCTTTTTGCTTATGTAGTGCTGAGGAATGGAACCCAGGGCCTCATGCATGCAAGGCAAGCACTCTGCCACTGAGCCACCTTCCCAGCCCCAAGAATCTCTTCTTAAAACAACAACAACACAAAAACAACCTGGTGTACTTTGATTTCTGTGGAATTTTGTGCTGGACTTGGATTTCTAGGCTCCTTGAGTTAATTTGGGATGCTGTCAGGCTTTTGTTTTTGTTTTTTTAATGTACTTTTGGAGAAATGGGATACAGGATAAGGGCTTCCAAATATACTTACTGGAAACAGTACCTTAAGAGCATCATTTGACATCCAACATGGGGTGGATGGAAGAGATTGGAGCCTGCATAGGATGTTGCAATGCCACAGTGCTGAATGGAAGGCAGTCTCTGTGTGAGCTCCATGTTGGTTTTTTGATCACATGGGTTTATACAGTTTGATTGGCATGTGTTTGGGAGCTTGATGCTGTGGAGGCAGTAGGTGAACTCCTGAGGAGTGAATGGATCTCAGGGAGCAGAGGGGAAGGGCTGGTTTGTGTTACTGTGGCTGGATGATGCAAAGCCAGGGGTGGGGCCAAGCATGTCAAGATTTAAGTCCGGCCTCTGTAGTGACTGAGTTCCAGGCTCTGTAGGGTCAGGGTTAATAGCTTAACAAGTTTTCCAATGTTCAGTCTATAGTAGACTTAGTCACAGAAACCTGGAAGATACTGGCTAACAGGGAATAGGAATAGTAAGGTGAATGTTTAGTGTCTTGTGAATATAAACCAGAGGTTTTTATTTAGGTATGTAAAAATAATTGTAAAATATACAGGCAACATTTAAGAAAAATTTGATTTTTCTCTCAATGAACCTGTGAGAATTTATGGTATCTGAGTTTTGTCATTAGTAAGAAGCACAAGCTTAAAAAAGAAACTAGAGGGGCTGGGAAGGTGGCTCAGTGCATACATGAGTCCCTGCGTTCTATTCCTATTCTACCACATAAGCAGAAAAAGCCCGAAGTGGCTCAAGTGGTAGAGCAATAGGCTGGAGCTGAAGAGCTGAGGGACAGCACCCAGGTCTAGAGTTCAGGTCCACAACCAACAAAAAAGAAAGGAAGGAAGGAAGGAAGAGAAACTACTAATCAAGAGGAATCCCTTCCCCCCAAACTTTAATGTCTCTGAAATGTATCCTGTATGGTATAGGAGGTTTTAGGGTTATATATAATCACAGAGCCACAAGGGCTACAGACTTATAGCAATTTACCCTCACAATCCTAATCTTATCCCCAACCCCCTTCCCCATCTTGGAGAAGAGTCTTTGCTGTCCAAGTATCTGAGCTTAATTGATGGCAGGGCCAAATATGATGTGATGTCCTCGGGAACTTGGCAGCTGTGGATTTCCAAGTAAAGACCTGAGTTGATTTTCTTCAGGTCAGTTATTTGGGCTACCTTAGGCTACAATTTTGTTGTGACATGGTAGACTGTTCAGCCAGCACATCGAACTTTCCCTACCAGCCCCAGTAGCACAGAATAGGAGCTGTATACATCCACAGACCCCAGGGAGATATCTGTCCTCAAGGCTTTCCTTCCTGTATGTATTCCACGGGAGCTGTCCCTCTCCCCACCCCCCAGTGCTGGGCTTAAATCCAGGGCCTCACGTGTGTTAGACAACTGCTATCTGAGCTCCATCCCCAGCCCTATGGCAATTGAGTATGTGCGTGTTTTCATGGTCTCTCTGTGTCAGTATTTTTAAAAACTTTTAGATCTCAACAGATAATAAGTTCCTGGCTTCTCCTGAAAAGTTATAAAAAATCTACCTACCACCCACAGGCAGGTTTTTTTTTGGGGGTGGGGGGGTCCTGGGGCTTGACTCTAGTAATAAGAATTAGGCATTCTTTGCAGCCCCACCCCTGTGAGCACTACCTGGTCCACACTCCAGGCATTCTCTTACTAGGGACTTCCTCTCTTGCAAGGAAGGACCCTGCCTACCTTCTAGGAAGCTGGGTCTGGGGTTAAGGTCCTCAGTGTGCATAGTTCTGTTCACTCTCCAGGGAGGAAGGCAGTTGCTCTGAAAAGGCTCAGTTTGTGGTTTTCTAGTCATAATGTGATGAAAGTTTAAAGTTCCTACCTGTGTCTTCTATGTTGCAGGTGAACAAGGGCATTACCCTTAGGAGTTTAAGGTTGCCAGATGAAATTGTAACATTGTAGCTGTCCAGTTTGAAACTAAAGGAAATATAACAATCTTTTAGGCTCTAGAACATGGTTAGCATAGTCTTAAATCCACACCAAATCTGTCTGGAACCAAATTTATCAATTAGATAAATAAGCTTTAGAAGCTTATTATAGTTTAAGATATTAGACTGCTTTAGTACACACACACACACACACACACACACACACACACACACACACACACACACACACACACACACACACACACACACACACACACACACACACACACACACACACACACACACACACACACACACACACTAACTAGCAGAAGTAACAAAATGAAAGTCATTCACACACACACACACCCTAACTAGCAGAAGTAACAAAATGAAAGTCATTCCAATAAACTCTTGTCCACACACACACACCCTAACTAGCAGAAGTAACACACACCCCTAACTAGCAGAAGTAACAAAATGAAAGTCATTCCAATAAACTCTTGTCCACACACACACACCCTAACTAGCAGAAGTAACAAAATGAAAGTCATTCCAATAAACTCTTGTCGACCCTGTAGTTTTTGGTGTCTGTTCTTATAAACATACATGCTTTTCAGTACTTGGTGTTCCCATATCTGGTTCCATCCCAACTCTCTTGGAATCTAGTGTGTTCCCAGCTGTCACTCCCTTCTCTGATGTAGGCAAAAGGAAAGTCTTGGTTCAGAGGCAGAGGTTATGGAGAACCTTGAACCTTTTAATGGAAATAGATTAGATCTATAATTGCCAGATTAGATCTGTAATCACAGCCTTCTTCCTTACCCTGAACTGTCTACATTAAGCCTGATAGCTTTCTTGTCTTTCCACTTCAGTGGAAGTCCCTATTGCTGCATCAAGTAATTGGAATTTGATCAAATCCAGATCACAACAAATGTCCATTACAATTCTGGGCTTCAGTTGTTGACCTTGGGAAATATTTCCAGTACAGCTAAAATATTGAAGACAGACTTATCATTCATGTATTTACTTGTTCTATTCTGTGTACCTTGTATAAAAGATATATTAAATAGGTAGATTTCATTAGGTAGCTGACAAAGAGAACACCAAGCAATATTCAGGCAGGAAAAGTTTGTTTACCCAACTGCTGCCCCCTTCATGTGTGGTGGAGAGGCACGTTGGAAAAGGGCCGACCTACCCCTGGGCCAGGACTTATCTAGGCCTGGGATGGGAAGAGGTGTGGTCACACTAGATCAGGATATGATCTCACCAGGATGTGATCCAGGAGGGGGAGGTGACTGCTTCTAGGTATACCAGTTACCTAGGTAACACAGATACTGGATGGAAATAGCCAAGAGGTAGGGAGGTATCAGCACGGGGCCTGCATGGCCTGGGGGCAGACCTTACACCTTGTACATGCAGGATCTTTTCTAAATTGTGCCTGTTAGTATTTGTGGTTGCTGATGTGTGGGGACGTGGTCTGAAGGTAGGTTTTAAGCAACTGGAAAAGCCAGAGGCCAGCAGCTAGATGGGCCTTGCTGGCCTACAACCAAGATCTTGCAGGTTGGGTTCCCAGGCTATGCAGACAAAACCTCTTTGAGGTGAGCCTGTGCGTGATGGCAGTGGGAGCTGGACCACGCCTATAGTGAACTATATAGGAGCATCGCCCAGAGGCCCGTTCCCCAGGCACTGTCTTCCTGCTCCAGTCTGAGTGAAGCAGGGGTCCAGGCAGAGGCCTAGACGGGCAGCTCCAGATAGCATCCCAGAGTCATGGGGAGGGCGGGGGGGGGGGGGTCACAAAGGATTGATGGTTGTCTTGTACTCAACTTGATACTGGCTAAAAGGGGTGAGCTGCACTTTTGGTCTAGGCAGATCCTATGACCCTACTCAGGCCAGCGAAACTCATGCACACCTTGTCCTTGTTCCCTTGTTTTGTGTCATTTCTTCTTATCTGGAAGTGCTGGCCAGGTGGTTCCTATAGCCACAGTACCTGGGGCTAGATGGCCCTGACACTGACCAGCCTGCTGTCTCTAGGTCGTCACACTAGTCAGAGTGCTGCTGAGTAAGGGAGGTTGTTGTGTAGGGGTGGTGTTTGCTGGATTACAGAGTGTTCCGTGTACTTCCTTTCTGATGGTTGACTCAATCAGAATTAAAACAGAACCAAAAGATCAGCTTCCTAGAATGAGGCTGCCCTAGAGTAGAATAGGGCTTCTGGGCTCCTAAATTACTTGGAAGCAGAAGCTCTGAGGATTAGCTGCTAATCCTAAATCCCTTGGCTCCTCTTAGAGCCGCAGGACACTTTGCATTTCATCACTAGACTCTTCCAGACATAGAACTGAGCAGTGAGTGCAGCTGAGCCCTAAAGTCAAGTATCTCCCACTCAGTGACTTGGTTCTCACTTTAGTAAGGATGAAGGCAGCTCTAGTTGCAGAGGTGGGCTGCAGAAATGAGTCCTGGTCCAGTGTTGATGATGAGCACCAGGTTTGCATATTTGGTGTTTTCAGCTTTCAGGTTCCAAAAGTATACAGTAAAGTCATAGAATGGAGGCATGTGAGTGGGCCTCTATAAGCTGAGGTAGCCCATGAAATGGACCCAGGCCTGTAGGGTACCACTGTTTAAGCTTAGGAAAGCCTAAATACACCCTCTAGCTCCTAGGCCTGCAGATGTCTGATGAATGAGATGGGATGAAAAGGTCTGAAACTCTTCTGCTCTCCTGCTGCAACCTTTGGATCAAGTTCTTTTCAGCCTTCATGGAGACTTGCTGATTGCCCTTGGAGCTTGTCTCCTATCCTGTTCTCTCGGAACCACTGGATTAGCATAAACACCTACAATTCTGCAGCTTCTACCTCTGTCTCATAGGTACCTGGAGTCCTTCAGGCGAGATGATTATGATTCCTTAGTCCATCCTTGTAAGCAATAAAGTTTCACTTCTTTCTTTGCTTGAGGAACAGTCTGTCTACTTTTTGGTCAGGGCTGGCTCCTTTCCACTTGGGAGCTGAAGCCCCATTAAAGCCCACGCACTTGGCTCAATCTTTCTATTATTTCCATGCCAAAAGTCCTATCTCATGACACCATTGTCAGGATACAATCTAAACGCCTTTGTATGACTGTGTCCATTTTCCTAACAAATTATTCTCTCACAGTCCTAGAATGTAGAAGATCAAGCTGTCAGCAGGCCATGCTCTCTGATAAGAGTCTTTCCTGTGTTCTCTCATCATTTAGTGGTAGCCAGTAGTCTGTGGTACCCATTGGCTTGTGCATGCATGACTTTCTTCTCACAGACCTTTTCATGAGACCCTCCACATTTTTATAAAGTCACTGTTAGCCCAAAGAGCATAGCTTACTATGCTCCTTCCCCTCTCTACAGCTTAGCATGTTCCCTTCTTAGGCAACACTAGGCCCATTGAGTAAAGGCAGTAAATAATCAACTTCCAACCCCCTTTACCTCTGGGGCAGCTACCGCCATAGAAGGCAACAAGAGCCCGTTAGAGTGACTCTCAGGTCTAGGCAGCTGCAGGGCCCCTTATCTACTACTTGGGCAGCAGCCATAAATCCTAGTCCACCATGATGAAGCCCCTGGCCCACACCAGGGTCTCTGCCTCTTAGCCCCTTCTAGCCTCTCCTAAACCTAGGTTATATAGGTCACCTCAGACAATAGCCTGCGCTTCTCACTTCTCCCTTGTGAGAAGGGGTCATACTGGCCCCTTTCCCAGCAATAAACCTTTCTTCATTCTTTGTACCTGGATGTCTGCATGGTTTTCTGGCAAAGTCCAAATAATCTCTAACAGTCACTATCCTTATTTGATTAGGGACTATTCTGATGAACTCATTTAAGCTTGCTTCCTTTTATTTAAATCTGATTTCCAAGTAAGGTTATATTCAAAGATGCTGGGGCAAGAATTTCAACATGTCTTTCCAGGAGGACATGACTCAGCCTATAACAAGAAACTATAGGAAAGTGTAAAGATGTAGATCAAAAAGTTGGCCATATAAACAGCAGTCCAGTGGGAAGAGGATTCATTTTCCCACATGGGGTAAGACAAATGCTCAGAGGAATATCTGGGAAGAAGCGTGTACACTCTGGGTTCTTGCAAGTCAGGTGGTTCACTTATTCAGCAAATGTTCCCCAAGTTCCAGTGGCATTTGACAAAGTGAGAAGTAGACGTGCAAGATGCCATGTGATCTATGAGAATTGTCATGAAACCCCTTCTTCACCAAAAAAACACACCGTTATGGGCAGCTGTTGTGGCTTCCTTTTAGAAAGCAGGATCAGCTAGAAGTCAGGACCATCCTACTCTTTTTTACTGTTCTTTTTGGGTGGGAGCCACCATTTTGTAAGCCGAATAATTAAATCCTCTTTTTTAGCATCTTGCATTTGTTTATTTGTTTTTTGGTTAGTAATGGGGCTTGAACTCAGGGCCTGGGAGCTGTTCCTGAGCTCTTTTGCTACCACTCTACCACTTTGAGCCACAGTCCCACTTCTGGTTTTCTGGTGGTTAATTAGAGATAAGAGTCTCAGACTTTCCTGCCCAAGCTGGCTTTGAACCATGATCCTCAGATCTCAGCATCCTGAGTAGCTAGGATTACAGGCGTGAATCACCAGCACCCAGCTCTGTGTGTGTGTGTGTGTGTGTGTGTGTTTGTATAAGGTTTTCATTTTTTAATAAATTTACCATCAAAAGTTGTGTTTACCACAAGCAGTGGTAAAGTAGAAAGTTAAGTGCTACCCACATCTGACATGTGTGTTTTTATATTTTTCCTGAGCTAAACATGGGTATAGTTGTTGGTTTCACAGTGGTTACTTTACAGTGGATTCCCTCTTTGCCATGGATGCTTCTCAGAGATAACAATCCCATGAATTTTGGGCATCAGATTACCCAGCTTTTGCCCTCACTGCAGATGACTTGGACCATAGGATTCCTTTTGTATTGTTGTCATGTTAGGGAGTCTGGACAAGGTTTGGATTAATCCATTTCACTGGTCCTACACCTCATCTTCCACTGTTCTTTCTGGGAAGTGACAATACTAAAAACTTTGAAACTCCTCTACCTTCTTTACCTCCTACATTCAGCAGGGCTTGATTCTTGTGGCTACAGAAGACTGAGAACATCTTGTACATAATTCCCTTTCCTATCACCCCTGCCACCCACCCTGGCCCTAGCCTTCAGCTATTGTGTAGCTGAGTTCTTTCACAAGATTGTCTGCCCCATGTCTCTGCCTCCCTTATGGCCAGTTCAGCCTTACTCCTGTCAGTGATTTTTTTCCTTCTCTGCCTTGCATTTTCTCATACCTTGAACAACTTTTGTGGTTGTGAAGATTACTCTCAGTGTTATAGCGCTCTTTCAGCCTCACAGTCTTGTCTGCAGCCTCCGTCTGGCAGGATGTTACAGAAAATGTACTTGATGCTTTTTGAGCACTTCACATCTGCTGTGGGGGTAGGAAGGGGTACCTGTCAACATATATCTATGGGTGTGCAAGCATACATGTGATTATGCATCTATTTTTCTATGCATGTATATGTGAGTCTACCCCAACTAACTGATTCCATCTCTTTGCTCCCTACAGTGAGGGTTCCCTATTTTATTGACCTGAAAAAACCACAGGATCAAGGTTTAAATCACACCTGCAATTACTACCTCCAGCCAGAGGAAGACGTAACGATTGGAGTCTGGTGAGTACATGTGAGGAGGCTGCAGAGCTGGGTGCTGGCTCCTCTGGATCTGGGAAGGACCCTGCTTAGCCCAGCCTATGTCCTTGACACTGAACTTTGAAGTGTTGCTTGCTCATTTTTATCTTCACTCATTCTTATGGCAAAGGGAAGATCTCAGCTAAATTTGATCCTAATGGTGCATGATGAACTGGTGCCAAACTCTGTTCTGAGGTTTTTGAAACAGCAAAGGTCTTTGTAACCAGATTGTTTTTAGAGTCTTATTTCCCAGGTAAATAAAAAACAAGCTAGAAACAAAAAATGCAAGCAGAGCGTTGTAAATACACATTTAAATGTTCCTTTTTTTTTCACCAATGGCGCTTCTTAGGAGCTGGTGATCGGCATTTGCTGTCTCCTAAACATATATATAATATTATATATATTTAATATGTATATATATATTTGATGTAAATTTAAGTTGGGTTTAAGTCCCATGACATCTCTGTGTCTCCTTGGAATACATTTTCATGCTTTTTTTTGCATAGGTAATAAGTATTTTACTGAACAGCTGGCCCCAAAACTGCCTTGCTATGGCATTTCTTTTTTTCTCCTAGAAGCAGCACTGAATCACTGTTCCTTTATCTGGCTGCGTTTATTTTTCAGTAGTCATGAAGTCTCTTTCCGCAGTCTCAGAAAACCACTGTGTGTGTGAGAAGCTTGTAAATGGAATGCTGTGAGTAGATTCCAAGGGTATATAAGAGGACATTCAGACAAATTCTAATGATGGTTCCTGGTAAAGAACATAAAACGAGAAAGGAGATTTTTATTCTTAGTAGTTGATGTAGGGAGTGGAGTCTTTTGTTATGTCTTGATTTAATCTAGCAGTTGCTGACCCATGCATGTGGGACTCTAGCTTTCTGTCTTCTCTCAGGAACTTGGCCTATTTTGTCCAGGGCTATTTAGTGGGGAAATGGGTCGGTTCTCCATGTGGGAATATGTGTCTGTCCCATTGCAGGAGGGGTGCAAGTGTGGTGGTACTTAGGCTGAAAGCACTAAAGCATCTTCCTAAGTTGTCAGTTACCCCAAATTGTTGTTTTACTGACAATGCTGAGTGTCAAGGGAGTGACAGCTACACTGTGTCAGATGCTACCCTGATTTGTACCCCTTGATTTGTACCCCTGTGCCATCTAGTTGGGCCTTGGGAAGCAGCAAGCTTCACTCACAGCCACCTTCACCATCTTGCCAGATACTCCTACCAGCTTCTTAAAGGAAGACTGCAAAGGTCTACGTGTAGCCAGAGGGCCTTTCTTATTATCAGCTAAGTCTCAACCTTCCCCTCAGCCAGTGAGCTGAAGGAGAGACCCAGGCATGAGAATCTTCCTAATGCCTGAGGGTGGGGGGACTTCTGGGCCTCTGACAGAAGGCCCAAGAGGTAGGCTGGTTTTTGGAAGCCCCTTAGCAACTAACATTTTAAAAATAGACCTCCCTCTTTCTCTCTCTCTCTCCCTTCCCTCTCTTCTTGATGCCCCTCTCTCCTTTCCTCTTTTCCTTCCTTGCTTTAAACTCTTGGACCACAAACAAAGTAATCCTGCCACCACAGCCTCTTGAGTATCTGGAACTGTAAAAGCTACTGGGACATAGGCATGCACCACTGCACCCATCAAAACCAGACCCTCTATCCTTTAGCTTTATGATAGTATAGGAATGATCATTGTAGTGGCCAAAACACCCAAAATGTGATCCTTATGAGTATATTAGGTGCATTAGAAATGAAACGCTGGATGTTAAGATATGAGAAAACAAGGAATTGGCTGTTGAATTTTGTAAGATCCATGTCACTGGTATCTAGAATGAATTTGAGTAAGAATTATAGAAGAAACCTAATAATTCAGACCTTCTCTAGTGATTAACAGTATACCACTGGGCTTGTCTAGGGACAGGACAATTTGCCACTCTTCTCTTCCTTCCTCCTGTTGGTAGCTGGCTCTGCTGAGTTCTGTGATAGAGCTCCCTCCACAACGCAGCTCATAATTTCCATTGTGTGTATAGAGGGACATCTGACTGTGTCATTCCCGCTTCTGTCTCCAGGCATACCATTCCTGCTGTCTGGTGGAAGAATGCCCAAGGGAAGGACCAGATGTGGTATGAGGATGCTTTGGCTTCCAGCCACCCCATCATTCTGTACCTGCACGGGAATGCAGGTACCAGGTGAGCTCACACAGGCCATGCATCCTCCCTGCAGCATCTGGCTCTTTTGTCTGGAAGAGTGTACTAGCCCAGACTACTTGGAGCAAACCGGTAGTGCCATACAATCAAGCTTACCCACAGAGGGAGAACATCCCAAGAACAAGGGAAAAGGCACAGTTCTAACTGCACTGGGAGAGTGTAGAAGGAAGGTAAAGCTTACGTAAGGCAACCCTGTGTACAGAAGTCCAGCAGGTCTGATCTGCAGAGTGTTCCTGGCATTGCTGCCTTGGGGAACCCAGAGTTGGACATCTGTGGGAAGCTGTGTTCAGACACCATACCTGAAGCTGCCAGGGTCAAGATGGAGGAAGCTGCCATTCTATAGCCAGAGGGCAGATTCCTTCTTCCTGCTGTGTTGTCACTGGGTGTTGGGGTTATGGTGCATCATCATGAGGCCCATCCATTCTTTTCTTTTGAACCAGTGTGTGCTGGTGTGTGGTTAGGGAGCAGTGTTTCCCAGTGAGGACGCTGTGGTCACTCAGAGGAGGGGTGGTGATGATTCTCGATGGTGGTCTCAGTGCACCCTCATGCTCCTGTCTACTTGCTGCTGGTTTCCCAAGTCTGTCACTCTGTGGCAATTAGCAGGCAGGCCCGCCTTGCCTGTGAGATAGTTCCAGGATGCCAACTGGGGCAGCCATGGGAAGAGGCAATACACTTCTCCTCTTCCCCCTCCTCCTCCCCCTCTTCCTCCCTCTCCTCCCTCTCCCCTTCACTCTCCTCCCTCTCCTTCCTCCTCCCCCTTCCTTCTCTTCCTCTTCTCTCCTCCCCCTTCCTCCTCCCCCTTTCTCCTCCTCCTTCTTCCCCTTCTTCCTCCTTCCTCCTCCTCCTCCTTCTTCCCCTTCTTCCTTCTTCCTCCTTCCTCCTCCTCCCCCTTCTCCTCCTCTTCCTCCTCCTCCTCTCCTCTTCCTCCTCCTCCTCCTCCTCCTTCTTCTTTCTTCTTTCTTCTTTCTTCTTCTTCTTCTTTTTTGTGTTGGTTGTAGGCTTAAACTCTGGGCCTGGGTGCTGTCCACTGGCACCCGGCAAGGTAATATACTTCTGGAAAAGAGGCAGTAAGCATAGAAAAACAGTAAGAGAAGAAGCTAAAGATGAAAAGGGTGACTTCCTTGGCCAGTGGAGAGAACTCCATGGAGTGTGCATGGACATGTCTGTCTGCTCAGGCTGCCCACTGTAGGAGAGCTCTCTGCTCACAGCCATGATATGAGCAACCACAGAATGTCCTAACAAGCTGTGAATGAAACACACACTGTGGCTGGTTATTTCCTGTGACTTTATCCTGTGACTTCATGAGAAGCAGCTGGGTTTAATGGCTCCTTCAGGTTGGCCTGAGCTGGAATTGCTTTCTCCAAAGACATCCATTCTGTGATGTTCCTTCTACACCACAGACTGTTGTTCAGAGGGCTTCTAACAATGGGGGATGAGGAGGGAGATGCATTTTTTGAGCAAAGCATTTTTTTTTTTTTTGAAAACCCCAGGGTCACTGTGTCCTGTGACTGTTTCTTTAGGTCTCCTGTAAAGAGCCAGAAGGGGCTCGCAGGGAGGCAGAGGCCCCTCAGTGTCAGGCTAAGGTGTCTGTGAGGGCAGAAACAGCGATGAGAACAATGCACAGACCTTTCTGGAAGGAAAGCAGGCCTGAGTCAGTGTCTGCACAGCAGAGCCATACAAAGAGCATGGCAGAAAGAGCTCAGAAGCACAGCCTGTGCTCTCTGCCAAGAGGAACACTTGGCACTTGGCTACTGAGCTACGCATGCGCTGTGTAGTTTGTTCTTTGTGCAAGAGCAAGTCACTACAGACAGCTCTTGTAACATCCTTCTATAAAAGAGAAACGTGCAGCTGGCTGTGAATAGGCTTAGATCTGCCAGTCACATGTGAAGACAAAGCCTGCCAATAACTTCAGGTTTAAAAGGAAGAAAGTGGTAGCTTTCAAAGGTTTGCCATCCCCTCTCATACCCAGTGACTACTGTGTGTTTCAGATCTCACCTGAATTCTGTCTAGTTCTACCCGAACCCTTCTTTTGGGGGAATTCACCCAATTGCTGAAACCCTTTTCTAATCAGAGTGCCTAGAATGGATCCCAGGCAGGCACTGGCTCCATCAGCCTGCAAGATCTCAGCACCCAAGTATCCTGAAGGTCAACCCCACTTTCACTTGATAGAAGTAGTTCTAGAATGGGCTGGGAAGTTGGCTCAGTGGTGGAGTGCTTGCCTTGCATGCATGAGGCCCTGGATTCGATTCCTCAGCACCACATAAGCAGAAAATAGCTGGAAGTGGCGCTGTGGCTTAAGTGGTAGGGAAGAGCTGAGGGACAGCGCCCAGGCCCAGAGTTCAGTTCCCACAACCGACAAAAAAAAAAAAAAAGGAGTTCTGGAAAATTTAGAAAAGTTATCTTCCACAGATAACTTAAAACATATTGCAGCATTTCCTCCTGGCCTTGAAACTTACTCTTTTGTATTTTTGTTTTTACACAACATTGGGTTTTTTCCCCCTTCATCTCACACGCACTCTGTACATGTGAAAAGTATGGCAAGGAGCTCCTTCTTCACACCCTGCACCACCTGCCCAGCTATAGGGTCTGTCCACAGCAACAGCTGGGCAACAGCTGAACAAAGGTAGGACCTAGTCAGGCCACAGAGAAGTATAAACATGTGAAAATCTGAGTTGTATGCTAAGCATTCTTAATGTCAGAAAAGTAGCAAGGTGCTTGTGCAAATTTCCCTTGGATGTTGCTTCCATCTACATAGCTGGACCTTGAACCCTGGGGAGTTTGGGAGGGCTTCAGGGCTGGAGCAGGAGGGCAGGGTGGGACTACTTCGTTTCTTTGTTTGCAGGTATACATTTGCATTTCTCATTGAAAAATAGAAGTACATTTAATAATTAGAGTGCTTAGCCTAGTACTTCTAGAGGCAAGCTTGTAGCCACTTAGGGGAACCCAGAGAGGTTATATATCTACCCTTGGCCCCTCCCTGGAATGGAGTTTCCAGACTCTTGAAAGGATCAAACTTTATCCCCCCCCATTCTGAGAAAGAGCACTAACACTCACTTCCTGTTTCCTTCTCCAATGCTACAGAGGAGGAGACCACCGAGTGGAGCTCTATAAGGTGAGTGTTTCTGGCCCAGAAGAGCAGGAGACCAAAGGTAGTCATGTCTGTCATTGTTGGACATGCTGGAAGATAGTACCTGGCTTGTTCTATTGTGATTCTTCCCTTTATACTACTTCTAGTATGGTCTCCAAAATCAGAATGCACGCATTTTATGAATCATCTGCCAGTATTCACAATTATGTGAAAGACATTTGAATGTGTGTGTGTGTGTGCGCGCGTGCGTGTGCACATGTACACGCATGCTCCAGTTCTAGAGCTTGAACTCAGCATCTGAGCACTGTCCCTGAGCTTTTCTGTTCAAGGCTAACATTCTACCACTTGAGCCCCAGCACCACTTTGGGCTTTTTTTTTTCCTGCTTATGTGGTGCTGAGGAATCGAACCCAGGGCCTCATGCAGGCAAGACAAGCACACTACCACTGAGCCACCTTCCCAGCCCCCTCTTATAGTTTTTATGGACTTTCTTGCCTGGGCTGGATTCAAATTGTAATCCTCATATTTCAGCCTCCTAACTAGCTAAGACTGCAAGTATGAGGCACCAGCACCTGGCTCGAATTTGTTTGTTAATGATGTGTTCTCAGATATAAAATGAAAATAGAAAACTGTATACTCAAACCCTCCCTTTATAACTAATGTAAACTCAATAGTAATAATAATAGAAGGTAAGCTACATATTCTATGAGCTATATTTACTGCTGAGTTGCAGAGTCAGTGGAATGTGGAGGTAGGATTTGAATCAGGTTCCACCAGGCTTAGAAAAATATCTGAAGATAAAGAGGCACAGCTTGGGCAAAAAATAGAGCCGGTGTGTGGTTTTGTTCTTGATCAGAGGCCTTTAGGTCTAGGAGCTTAAGACATGGTTTTGGTGCAGTATCCTAGACTTGCTTAGGCCTGCTTCCCTGTCCCCATCTCAGAGAGGTGTCTGCATCTGCTAACAGGGAAGATACACATACATACACATGTATGGATTTATCTTGCTTTGTTGCTATTGGAGAGTTTATCTCCCCTCTCCCCCTCTCACCCCTCAGAGTGAATTGTACCAAAATAGGACAGGCCAGGGCCTGAGAATTACCACTTTCCTTGAGGTTTCTATTAATAGAAATGACTCTAGCTGGGCACTGGTGGCTCATGCTTGTAATCCTAGGTACTCAGGAGCCTGAAATCTGAGGATTGTGGTTCAAAGCCACCTGAGCAAGAAAGTCTATGAGACTCTTATCTCTGATTAACCATCAGAAGACCAGAAGTGGTGCTCTGGCTCAAAGTAGTAGAGCTAGACTTGAGTGTAGAAGCTCGGGGACAGCACCCAGGCCCTGAGTTTAAGCCCCAGGACTGACAGGAAAAAAAAAAAAAGATTCTAACTGTGCACAGGTGGTTCATGCTTATAGTCCCTAACTACTGAGGAAGCTGAGATCTGAAACCTGAGGATTGCAGTTCAAAGCCAGTCAGGGTAGCAATGTCCATGAGACTTTTATTAACTCCAGTTAACCATCAAAAAGCCAACCAGGTGTTGAGTTTAAGCCTAGGACTGGCATTAAAAAAAAAAAAAATATTTCTCCTCTCCAGGTCTGAGGCCTTCAGCAGCTATGCTGTGGATATAGGTCCTGCTGAGGGAGAGGGCTGGGAGCAGACAGGAAATACCAGCAATCCCAAAAGATAGGAGTGATGAGTGGCTGTGAATGTATTGTCATGAAAACTCCCACATTGTCCTGGGCACACCCCAGGACATGAAACACTGCTGGAGTAAAAGTCAGCTAGTCTATAGGGATTAAAAAATAATAACTCTGTACGGTATTTTCACAATAAAAAAAAAAATAACAAGCTGGGCACTGGTGGCTCACACCTGTAATCCTAGCTACTCAGGAGGCTGAGATCTGAGGATCACAGTTCAAAGCCAGCCTGGGCAGGAAAGTCCATGAAGCTCTTTATCTCCAGTAAACGACCAAAAATCTGGAAGTGGCATTGTGGCTTATGTGGTAGAACACTAGCCATGAGCTGAAGAGCTGAGGGACAGTGACCAGACCCAGAGTTCAAGCCCCTGACCAACCAAAAACAACACCCCCCCCCCAAAAAAAAATAGGAGGAAATAACAATGCAAGTCCAAAATCAGAGCTATTGCTAGGTTGTGGTAAAGGTCCTTGTATAGGTCTCTGATGTCTTTGTGGGGGTTCGGGGGCTTGTCATCTTACTGGATGGTTAAAGTTCACTGGAGGCTAAGGCCACCCCGAGGCATAGTGTCTTCCTGGGAATTGGGTATTGTGGGTGCTAGCAGGTCCGTCAGCTGTCTAAACAGCAGAATAGATGTCCTTTCAGTCAGGAGATGGGCTACACAGAGACAGTCTTTATTAAATCTCTATTGTGTGCAAAACACTGAGAGAAAACTCTGGATGGGTTAGAAACAGTCAAGTTGCCAATCCAACTCTAGTTGGGTTTAGCAACAATCAAGTTGTCAATTCAAGGCCCCTTGGATTTGTTGTCAGAGGTGTGTATTTTTTATTTCACAGGTGCTGAGTTCCCTTGGTTACCACGTGGTCACCTTTGACTATAGAGGTGAGGTTTCTCTTAAGAGTGTGTCTGAGCACACGTTTCTCCCGCTTGCATCTGATAGACAGGTTTGCTCTGAGAGCCTCAAAGCAAATCTGGCACTTGCTTTTACTGTGCTGTGACCTGTGGTGACAGTGATGATGTCAAGGAATGGGAAAGGCGGTAATTCTTGTCTGATATGGGCCTTGGGTAGTGGGTTTCCTGACAAAGCCCATGGTATGGACATCCAGGAGTCCTTTCCAGTAAGGGAGGTACTGGTACCAGAGAACCCCAGCACATGTCCTCAGTCAGAAACATTTAAATGCAGAAAATACCCTCTGTTCTTATTGGGCTTAAATTTTCCCTGAAGCTAGACATGAGACACATTTTAGGCTCCGCAGCAGAGCTAGTGTTGAACTGTTAAAAATAGAAAAAAGACCCTTTGAGAGAGAAGATAGATTATTCTGTCCCCTCAACACGCCTTTCTTTTGGGAATGAGTCAGTGCTTGCCCCTGGGCAGATGAAGAATCCAGTTTGATAATGTGCTCCGAACATTCCACTTCAGTGGACAGCAGAAGTAATTTGTATTAATAGTGAGCAACTATTTTAAAGGAATACTCTTCCATGTAGCCCTCACTTGGAGAGTTCAAAGGGCTGAAGTTTACTTGGCTAGCTTGCCTTGGCCTTCTGGAGAAGGACTGTGGGGCAAAGGCTCTTAAACAGATGGGTGGGGGAGACAGGAAAGCAGCTACCAGCTGTATGTAGTGGTTTTATTAGTTCAGTTTGCTTCTGTAATGAATTGTCAACATAAATGTTTCTTTTAAAAAAAAATCACTGATTTGTTAGGTTGCAGTTCTGCAGATCAGAAATCTAAAATCTTTAGCCATTGGGCTGTAATCCATGTGCTATGGGGGCTTCTGGGAGCTCTGGAGAGGCCCCCTGCCTTGCCTTTCCAGGTAATAAAGGCATCACACTCCCTGGCTCATGGCCTCTTTCACATTCAAACTCAGCCTTGGCCTTTTAAGTCCCAGGCTCAGTCATTTGGACTGTCGTAACTGTTGTCCTTGCCTTCATTTATAAAGAGCCTTGTGGTGACCTGGGGTCAATCTGGATAGTTCAGGATTATCCCCATCTCTAGTTGAGTCCATTAGTAGTCTTCATTCCTTCTGCACCCTTAATTTTCCTGGCCATGTTCACCAGCTCCAGGCTATGGATGTGCCCATCTTTAGGGCCCACCCTTGGCCAGCCACAGTGATGGGTCTTCCATTGGAGAAAAGTCCATCAGAAAAACTCTAAAATGAGATGGAATGTAGCTTACCCTCTCCTTTCTGCCTGCCAAAAAGGTTTTTCTCTTCCTGCTATATGCTGAAGGCCTTAAGACAAAGAAAATGAGCCACTTCCTGCTTCCCATTCACCCCCTTGCCTGGTTGTCTATCAAGCAAAGGCATTCTCTGCCCCTCTTTGCAGTGCTTAGGGAGTATGTGCATCTCTGAGTGGTGTGGGAGGCCATCCCACTCCACCTCTGACTTCTCCCTGTATTTCTGTCCCTCCCTCTCTCCCTTTCTCCCTCCCTCTTCCCTTCCCTCCCTTTTCTTTCCCTCCTTCTCTTTCTCACTCTTCCCCATCTGTCTCTCTTCTCCTTTCCCTGTCTCCCACAGGGTGGTCCAATCCTCCAGCCATCTCTCTGCCTCCTCTCCTCTGTCCTCTGGGGTTTGGGAAGCTGGCAGCAGCCTAACAGGTTTGCTTACACAGCAGAACCAGCTCTTCTAAAGCTTTAGGAGTTTCAGATCATTTGATGATGACTCACTGCTGAATTGCTAGAAAGACAATTGCATTCGGCCTTTTCTGGAGACTACAGAGAAGAGCTCTTGGGGAAGATTAGACTTGCCTTGAGCCTTTAAATCCCCCTGCTTCCTATACTGTCCTGGCTCTCCACATTCTGCCCTCGCCCTTCTGTGGTCCCTGGGTGGGCTGGGCTCTCATTGGCTGGGCTTATTAACATTCTAGCCTGGGCTGGCCCCACCAACCCTCAGTATTGGGAGGTCAAGAAGATAGAAGGAAAACCTGGCCTTGATGCTTGTGTCTGTGGGCAGTGTTGGCAATCTGAGATTGTGGGATGTTGTTTTGTTGACTCTGTTCTGTTAGTCATCAGCTAAATATGCAGCCCACCTACTTAAAGTAATTGGGAATCTCTGATTTGTTCAGTCAGCAGGGGGCTGGGGGAGGGCCTGATGTACCTTTCTTCACTGCCAGGCCCTTCTGCCTACATCTACCTCCCTGACTGCTCACTGCCAGCAGCATTAATGGGACTGCACATACTCAGGCAGCCTCCAGTGCTGGGACTGTGCTTCCATGAACTGCCCTTAACTCCTGCCTCCTGCTGTTCCCCTCACAGGTTGGGGCGATTCAGTGGGAACGCCGTCCGAGCGGGGCATGACGTATGATGCACTCCACGTCTTTGACTGGATCAAAGCTAGAAGTGGTGACAACCCCGTGTATATTTGGGGTCATTCCCTGGGTACTGGGTAAGAGTTCCCCACAGGAAGTGACCTTACTTGGAAGTAAGCCTAGGCAGCAGTCCAGTCTGGAATCTGAAACTCTGTGAGTCCCAGCAGTGTGGATCCCCTGTCCTGGGAAGGGGTAATTCTTCATCCCAACAAGTAATTTGACAGGGATCGTGGAGGTGCAGATATTTTCAGAGTGTTCATGTTCTGGAGCGTTTTTATCCTGGGGTGCACCTGTGCCTTCTGTCAGCTGTCTATGGAACGCGTGTGCAGGTCGTCCGTCCAGGCTAAGCTTGCAGCATAGGTTGGAAGCAGCTTGCCACTTTGAAGTGGGGAAGAGTTGTTTGTGGTCCATTTCCTACATCTGCCAAGACAGGAAATGTCTTAATGTTCCATTTGTGGGCAGCCTGGATGCTTCTGCTGATGCAAGGTCCAGAGTGTTTCTAAAAGGAGCCCTAGGCCCCAGCAGCCGCCCTTCTTCCCCTTGTCCTCCCTTTAGGCACAGTGACTGGGTCCTTCTTGTCTCTTGCTCCTCTTTTGGACGGTATCCTGAAGCTAGCATTCCTAGGCCGTCCTAGGCCAGGACCACCTGCCCCTCGTAGAGAGCGTGAACAGTGTCTCCCAGGAGAGGGTGGCAAGAGGGTCCCTGGACTCCCTGGACACTGTGCCCCAGAAGGGATATAGGCAGACCCTGCCTGACAGGGTGGTCCAGGTACCTTGTCTTTCTGTCCCAGCAGCACCCTTGTTGGCGGCTGAGAATGGACATGCTGTTTCTGGGAGGGCCACTACATATGGCATTCCTCAGGATCAGAAAGTGGCTGTCATTATTGCCACATCATGGAGAGAGGAGCTGATGGCTCACCCTGTTAGCTTCTTGGGTCTCACACATTCTCTGGACATTCTCCAGGATCTGAACAGTTATCTAAAATGATTGTGCTCATAATTTGCCTGAACTATATATATATTTTTTTCTTTCTCCCAGAGTGGCAACAAATCTGGTGCGGCGTCTCTGTGAGCGAGGTAAGGGAACTGCTTCCCTGCGGGTGCCAACCCCTGTGGCAGGTTCTTGGTGAGCAGACACTGGTGGATGAGCAGCAGCATGAGGGCATGAGCCGGCCATTAAGGGTGGGGATCGTGGGTATGCTCTGGACTCACCCTAGCCTGCTCTCCTCACAAGATCCCCAGCAGACCTCTGGGGCTCCCACTGTGGGGACGGGACTGAGGGGTGAGAGGCCTGCAGAGGTAGATTCTTGAGTAGAAGAACTGAACCCCGGTCTTACTATCCCATCTGAGTTTTTTGTTGTTGTTGTTGTTGTTTTCAATTTATGTAGAGACACCTCCAGATGCCCTTATATTGGAATCTCCATTTACTAATATCCGAGAAGAAGCAAAGAGCCATCCATTTTCAGTGGCAAGTACATGATTCTATTAAAAATAATTATTAAAATACTATTAAAATATGAAATTAGTTATAAGTAAATAATAAAAATAATAAGTATAAAAGTATGCCGGGTGCTGGTGGCTCACGCCTGTAACCCTAGCTACTCAGGAGGCTGAGAACTGAGAATCACAAGTCAAAGCCAGTCTGGGCTAGAAAGCCCATGAGACTGTTACCTCTAATTAAATACCAAAAAAGCCAGAAGCAGACCTGTGGATTAACTGGTAGAGTGCTAGCGAAACAGCTGAGGGACAGTGCCCAGGCCCTGAGTTCAAGTCTTAGGGCCTACACAAAAAAAGTCTAAGTATTCTGATGAATATAGATTTTATTAAATAATATAGATACTATTAAATTTATTAAATTTTGCAGCCAGATGGGAGGACAGGCTCATAGTTGTACTGTTTGGCGACCTTCCCCCATGGCCTCATTGCCTGCTTGGCATGGTGCCTCTGAGGTAGCATCACTTCCTGTGAGCAGTGAGTGTTTGTGGAGCTTATCCTAGCCAACAAGGACTGCCCTGGTCATTACAGGAGGAACTGGTGGGTGACCCCCTCCCCTCTCTCTGGGTCCTGGGCAGTGCTTGGGACCTGGGCTGTGGGGGGTCTGGCCTCCTAGTCATGTATCAGGTTGAAGCTCTAATCCGCACTGGAGAATGCAGGGTGAGTGAGTCCCCACCTCTCCCTTGCCAGGGTGTCTGAAACCTTGGATCCTTCTTTTAAAGAGCTGTTATTCTTCTCACTCCAACTACCCATTATGACCTGGGCCTCTATGTCAGCCCATCTCTCCTGAGCTCATTCTGCTCTACTCTAGGCCAGTAGAACCCTTTATTTCCTTTGATTTTTGGGGTGCTGCTTTTCTCTGAAATCATATGAGGAAAACAGCTGTGGACCCCCTTTTCCTTACCCTGTGTCTGAATGAAGTCTCGTGTCTGAGCTGGTTTCTGGCTGCTGCTCTGAGGTGTGAGGGCTCTACCTGCTGGGAAATCCCTGACATAGCTGGCCTATGAGACCTTGGGATGAGTCTTTCCCCAGTTGCAAAGCCAGGGGTAGGATGGGAGGTGTCTTCTCACTGTACATCACTTTACTCCCTTAGAAATGAGGTAGATAAGACTCGTGTACATTCCTAAACTTAAACTGCCTGAACCTTTTTTTTTTTGTGTCGGTCATGGGCTTAAACTCTGGGCCTGAACACTGTCCCTCAGCTCTTCAGCTCAAGGCTAGCACTCTACCACTTAAGTCACTGCAACACTTCCAGTTTTCTGAGTGGTTTATTGGAGATAAGAGTCTCTCAGACTTTCCTGCCCAGGCTGGCTTTGAACAGCGATCCCCTTAGATCTCAGCCTCCTGAGTAGCTAGGATTACAGGTGTGAGCCACCGGTGCCCAGCTTGCCTGAACTCTTGTTTCTAGTTTTCTATATAAATATCTTAACACTTGTAAAGATGGTTTATGTCTTGTCTTCAGATATATCGGTATTTCCCTGGATTTGACTGGTTCTTTCTTGATCCCATTACAAGCAGTGGAATTAAATTTGCAAATGATGAAAAGTGAGTATTGGGGTGGGGTGAGTAATTTTTAAATTCAGAAAAACACTAAGAACCTCCAGGATGAGCCTCTATAGTCATATAACCAACTATGATAGGATTCAGAAGACTTGGACTGTTCTTTAAGAGTGCACCTTCAAAAGGGGAAAGTGAGGCAGAGATCTACAATGGAAATAAATGAATTTTAAAGACTACAGAATTAAAGCACTATTAAAATAATACACGTGTGTGTGTGTGTGTGTGTGTGTGTGTGTGTGTGTGTGCGCGCGCGCACACACATGCACACATGCACAAGCCAGTCCAGGGGCTTCAACTTAGGCCTGGGCACTGTCCCTGAGCTTTTTTGCCCAATGCTTATGCTCTACCACTTGAGCTACAGCTCTGCTCCTGACTTTTTGGTGATTAATTGGAGTTAGGAGTTTCCTGCCGGGGGAAGCTTTGAACCGTGATCCTCAGATCTCAGCCACCTGAGTAGCTAGGATTACAGGCATGAGCCACTGGTACCCAGCTTACAATTGCAAACATCTTTGTCCACATGATTGTGGTTGATTTTTTTAAAAGCATCTATCTAAACCAGAACTCCTGTTACTTAAGCAGTAATTAACTTTTTAATGACTGCTTTAGACATTCATTTAATGTATGTTCAGTTATAGATAAACAGAGGTTTTTATTGAAAATAATTTTATTAGGTAAACCAGAGATTAAACATTCTAGTTAACAGCCTTTTTAAACTACTTTCAGGGCTGGAAAGGTGACTCAGTGGTAGAGTGCTTGCCTAGCATGCATGAAGTCCTGGGTTTGATTCCTCAGCACCGCATAAACAGAAAAAGCCAGAAGTGACACTGTGGCTCAATTGGTAGAACACTAGCCTTGAGCTGAAGAGCTGAGTGACAGTGCCCAGGCCAAGTTTAGGCCCCACAACTGACGAAATAAAAACAAACCCACTTTCAGACTCTATTTGCATTGTCTTTGTGATAGTTTATGGATTTAAATCTTTTTAGAAAAGAAAAAAGCCTTACCTAAATAGAACTAAAAATCTGTACTTCGAAGTAGGATGTTTAAAAATGGACTATTTTTCCCTTCTATTTTGTGTTTTGATTCTATAAAAATATAAGGAATTAAAATCTGAACAAACATTATAAGCAACCCCCCACTTTTGTTCATATTATTTTAGTATAGAAGGGAAATTATCTGAATCAACTGGTTCCTTCTTAACAGCCATGAATATTGTTCTCCAGGAAGCCATCTTTGCTCAGTCCCAGCCTCCTCTCACCCCCGTGGCTGTAGATGACTGCCATGCCACACTCCATCCTCACATCAGTGGGAATAGGCCCAGCTCTTGTACAGACAGGACTCCTGGAGCCCTGTGAACAGTGTTTGCCGAGTACTTCCCGCTTCCCACATCAGAAATGCTCTTCCATGAAGCGAGCATATGTGCAGTATGCCACTAGCAGGAGCTGTACACCTTGGATGATAAGCTTTCCCCAACTCTCGTCCTGTTCCAGGTGCCAGGACAGGCCAACACTGCCCTCAGAGAGTGCATAGTCCTGTTTGCCAGGACGGGCCAGCACTGCCCTCAGAGAGTGCATAGTCCTGTTTGCCAGTACGGGCCAGCACTGCCCTCAGAGAGTGCACAGTCCTGTTGGAAGATCAAGATAGACACTCAGGTCAGGTGGCCACCTAAGAGCTCCGGTCCTGTCCAGTCTTCACAGCCCGGCCTTTTGCTGTGTGGCTTGCTGAAAGGATCTGGAGCTATTGAAGTCACAGACAGTTTTAATTTCCTTATAAACATTAAGAGAGTGGCCTAACTGGCCTTTAATATCATGGATACCAAAGAAATTAGAGTATTGGCACATTTTTTTTTTTTTTTTTAAAATAAAGGAGCAACTTTATTGAGAAGGTTCCTACACTGCCCGGCCAGGGCCGCAGCACAGGCTTGGGAGCTGATGCTGCGACCCCTAGTGGTCCACGTACTTAAGTTTTTAAAGGCAAAATTCACAAGGTCAAGCCTGGTCACGCAGGTGACCAATGAGATTGTCAGACACCCAAAAGATTGCACAGTCATACTAGACCACACACAGGTGGCCAGTGAGGTTACACTTTGTCACATAATGGCTGTTTAAACCAGCCTATTGGCACATTTTTTTAACAAATGTAAATTTTATTGCAAAGGTGATGTACAGAGGGGTTACAATTTTTTGGGGGGGGGGTGGTCATGGAGCTTGAATTTGGGGTCTGGGTGCTGTCTCTGAGCTCTTTTGCTCAAGGCTAGTGTTCTGCCTTTGAGACACAGTGCCACTTCCAGTTTTCTAGTGGCTAATAGGAGATAAAGAGTCTTTACTGCCTGGGCTGGCTTCGAATCATGATCCTCAGTTCTCAGCCTCCTGAGTAGCTAGAATTACAGGCGTGAGCCACCAGTGCTGGGCTACATTTCTTTTTAACGCCGTGCTAGAGATGGAACCCAGAATGGTGTGTGTGCCAGGCCACGGTACTGCATCTTCAGGTCCTGGTTTTTCAGGCTTTGATTTTTGAGGTATTGAAATACAGCTCTTTGAACTGGAGCTCTTTCTGCCTTAGCCTCCTGAGTGTTGTGATTGCAGGTATGCAGCAACACATTCATGGTGACACTCTGTTGCAATCAGTTTTTTAGCCACATACATTACCCAGGTTATAAATACTGTTTTGTAACTTTTAAAGGTATATCTACTGTGCAGGGCCCAGATCTGAGGGAATGAATGAATTGATCTCTGGATTTGATTGATACCTGTGACTTAGCTGGAATAGATGTAAAGAAAAGATCTAAAAACATTATCTTAGTGCTGAAGTGAAAAGAAACCCACCAGAATGTTAACCTGTTAAGCACCCATACCCTGCCTGGGGGAGGGGTCCAGGGGACCCACCCTCTCCAGGGCCTCCATCTGCCCCCCTCCTTCTCCCAGTGTGAAGCACATCTCCTGCCCCCTGCTCATCCTGCACGCTGAGGACGACCCGGTCGTGCCCTTCCAGCTCGGCAGGAAGGTGAGTGGCCTTGCCTAGCATCTGTTGGTGGAGAGGAGGACCCTGCATGTCTTGTCATGGGGTGGGCTCATCAGCCTCAGAGACCATTTCATTCTTCCTGCATCACCTCTAGGCTGCCTGGGATGGGGCTGAGAGGTCTGATATCAGAGTCAGGACTGACACCATGCACGAGAGGAATTAGGGAAAATAAGCAAAGGGGTCCTTCTGAGGTACATATTATCAGGGCCCAGGTCAGTGTGGGAGAGCTCCTCAGCATTTGCTTTTGTGAAACATCCTTTTGCTGACTTTGCTGTCAGGAAGCAGATTAGATTTGTGGGAAGGAACAGGGTAGAGAGCACCGAGTGGGGCCCAGCAGAGAGGGGCAGGTGAGCTTTGGGGATGGTTGGTCTCCCTGCAGCACAGGCCAGTTTGTCCCAGGGCTCAGGGTAGGCTCCACATGGAGAAAATGAAGCCATGTGAGAGGACGTAGCGCTGCCCAGCAGGGCACTGCCCAGTCCCACATACCTTCAGCCATCCATGGAGCAGATCATGAGCCAACTTGCTATTGGTCTTGACCCGAGAACCCAGAGCAAAGCCTGAAGCAAAGTGTGCTTTGCATCCCAGGGCCCTGCCTGCCCACTGCACTGTCCCTGTCATCAGGATTGCCTCTGGCACTGAGGTGCTACACTTAAGAAGGGCAGTCTGGGAGGTGTGAGGCAGAGAAGGCCTAGAATGGTGGCCTCACTAAGTCCCTGGCCCCCTGGCTGTGACCAGCTGCAGCAAATAGCAGGGCTCATGGAGCTTGTTCTGTTCGTGGTGGGAAGCAGTCTTGATTGGAGGGGAGACTGCTGGGGAGATTTGCTCAGGCTCCACCCTCTGGGTTCTGACCCATCTCTTCCTCTCTCCAGCTCTACAATATTGCTGCACCATCTCGAAGCTTCCGAGACTTCAAAGTTCAGTTTATCCCCTTCCACTCAGACCTTGGCTACAGACACAAGTACATCTACAAGAGCCCTGAGCTTCCTCGGATACTGAGGTGAGAACTCTTCTCACCTGGGCAGCAGTGACTCAGAACTAGATATGTTTGAGCACCTGAGGGAGCCACTGGGTCTTGTGAGTCGGGTTCACAGTGAGAGTTTTCATTGACATCACTCTCCCTGGACTGTTGTGGTTAAGGTGGGTGGTCTCCTTGCTACACAGTTTATATACGCCAGTGCCAGTGTGCAGGGGAAGGAGCTGGCCACACTGTGTACGTGCACCATCCCCACTCCCAGACGACCACATGTGGATAGGAACACTCAGATACCCTGCCTTTGCAGAGTGGCCCTCGGGGCCCTTCCCACTGCAGCGGGCTCTGACCTTGGGCTTTTGAAAAAAGTTGGCCCCCAGCTGCTTCTTGAAGCAACACTGTGTTTCTTGCTGCCCACACCAACCAGAATCTTGGGCAGGACATGGGCTGCAGCTCAGAGAGCCAAGGGTACCAACTGGGGCAGTGTTTTACCGTATCCCCTTCTCCACTCCTAACCCCCAGGCTTCTGTCCAGACTGCTCCCAGCCTCACTTCCTTCTTGGTCAGGTGACATAGGCCCCTCGCAGTGCTACCAGTGTGTGTTCCTGAGCAAGATGTAAACCTCCTTATGCTCAGGGTGAAGGAGTCGCCAGCCCGGGCTGTTGCCCAGTGCTGGGACAGCAGCCACTGGGTTGCAGAGACTTCTATGGCTGGTCACGGTGCTAGTCGTTTTTGCTTTTGTGCAAATTGGCTTTGAGAAGCAGTTCAAGTGAATCTCTTCCCTGCAGGCAACCAGAATTGGTTGCTGGAGTTGTCACCCAGGGAGGTATGGCCCACATGGAATTCTACTGCAGACTAGCTGCCTTCAAGAGCTCTCAAGGCAAAGGCAAAGCTGCATTTCTTTAAATTGCAGGAGTGGGGAAACTCTTAAATGCCAAGTACCCTTTGATAGTTATAACTAGTACACAAATTATCAATACAGGAAGGCAGCTGCAGGCAGCTGATGAGAAGCATGATCAAATGATTTTGAGTGCCCTATATGACCCACGAGCTAGATGTTGCCCACTCCTGAGGTTAACTTTTTTTTCTTGTTGTTGGTCCTGAGGCTTGAACTCTGGGCTTGGGCGTTGTCCCTCAGCTCTTCTGCTCAAGTCGAGTGTTCTACCACTTGACCCACAGCCCCACTTCAAGTTTTCTGGTGGTTAATTGGATATAAGAGTCTCATGGACTTTTCCTTCCCAGACTGGCTTTGAACCGTGATCCTGATCTCAGCCTACTGAGTAGCTAGGATTACAGGCACAACCTTTTATTTTTGTTTTTTTCTTTTTGTGCTGGTCTTCAGACTTGAACGTAGGGCCTGGGTGCTGTCCCTGAGCTTTTTTTGCTCAAGGCTGGCACTCTACCACTTGAGCCACAGCTCTACTTCCAACTTTTTTTAAAAAAGTTTATAAGAATCCCATGGACTTTGCTGCCTGGCTTGGCTTTACACCTCAATCCTCAGATCTCAGCCTCCCAAGTAGCTAGGATTACAGGCATTGGCCATCAGGGTGAAGGTAGACATTCTTTGCCACTGGGGTGTGGGTTGCTGCAACGAGAAATGGGGTTGAAACAGTAGAGGTATTCTCTGGGATTGTCATTTCAACCCATTATAAAAGCGGTATGCCAGAAATTTTAGGTGTGAATATATTTAAAGTTTGTATCTTTAGTTGTACAAAGGGGTCTCAGTTTAACATGTCAGTTTGCGTACAGTGCATCTTAACCAATATCACCGCTCCCATCCTTCTGTCCTATCTCCAAGCTCCCTCTCATTCTGTGTTGGGATTTGACACCATGAGTGCCCCCATGGGTCCTACAAAAAGAGTCTGTCCTGTCCTCCTGGGGTTCTAGTCTGCTTTCTCTGGTGGCTTCCACCTCAACCGACATCCACTGAAGATGTAAAAAACAGGTGCTTTGCTCTTACTTGAGATTTAGCTCATGATGGTCTTCTTCTGGCCTAGGGAATTTCTGGGGAAGCTGGAACCAGAGCGCCAGCATTGAGACTGGCCTGTGAAGGGAGCATGAAGACTTGAAGACCTGCCCTCCTCCCCTTTTCCTCTGGTCAGCAGCCCAGCACCCTAGGGTTCCTGAAGTACCCACAGGAGCCCAGGAGTCCAGCACACTTGGAGAGAGGACTGAGATGCAGCAGGCAGGGACGGAAGACACGCACATCTGTGGTACAGTGTGGTGCAGGTGGCTGGAGCCTGGATCTGTGGTGGGCATGTGGCCCCGCTTCCTCCAGCTTCCACTCCCCGAGTTCTTGTTGGGAAGATTTTGTGACAGCAGTGGTGTCACCTGGTTGATCCCATACTTCCTGAGCTGAGCACAGGAGCCTGGGAGGGGGTGTGGGGTCTCAGGACAACTCTGGGATTTCTGGCGACACTGCTGAGAATGTGGAAAGACTGTTCTTTCTGCCTTCTCGGCACATGCAGAATCTAGTGTAATGGTTCCATCGTCCCTTTGGCTCATGTACCTGCTTGCCTTCCTCGGCTGTTTCTGCCTCCTCTGGGTGCCCGTTTACCCACACAGGGAAGGTTCCCAGATATGCACTCCTTCCTATTCTGTCCACCCATCTGTCTAACCTGGCCGTAGACTGAGCATTTATTTAAGAATAAAATTGTGGTGGTGGTCTGTTTGTGGTTTTTCTCTACAAAGCAGGAGTCAGTGTTACCTCTTGATGGGATGTTTACCCAGGCCCCGACCACAACCCCAGTACTGTCCTGGACACAGGAAGTGGGTATAGGGCTGCTAAGTTCCCATTCTCCTCTCCCCCCCGCCTCCCCCCTCCTTCCAGATGCTAGGGCTCTTTCTGATTCAGGACAGTATTTCCAGATCTTGCAGGTAGTCTTTTCCTAAAATGCAGTCCTACTTAAGTGACCCTTTCCCTGCAGTGATTATGGGTATTGGGCTTTGTCTGCCCAACACACAGACACCTACACACACACACACACACACACACACACATACACACAGAGACACACATATGTATATGCATGTATATACATATATAATATATATGTGTGTGTATATATATATATATATATATATATATATGTATATGTATGTATATATCTGCTTAGAGAAAAGATTAAGCCTCAAGGCCAGAGACTTTGACATGGACCAAGAACATCGTCTAATTTGTTCACTGGGGTATCTCTTGAACAGATGTGCTTTAGGGATTTTTTTAATCAAACCAGCCCTCCCTGTAGCTGTCATGTCCATTAACGCACATATGCCAGTATAGTGAAGAGTCAGGTATGTAGTCACATCCCAAGCCAAGAAACCTCTGGAAGAAGAGAGCATGCATGGCTTAGTAAGAACAGGCCCATTCTGTCTGTATGACTGGAGTACAATATTTATTTTTTCACATTTTGCATCTGTAAGACATAAGGGTCCAAATCCACCAGGATCTCCACCTGCCCTGATACCTGGCCTTTCCCTTGTAGGTCCTCAGCTCTGGAAAAGGAGGGCTTGGCCACTTGCCTTTCTCCGAGCTCTCCTGCCTAGCATTAGCAGCTGTAGACCAGCTGGACATCCCAAGGCCAGCATAGGTTATACCCTCCCATTCTCAGAAGCTGTCATCGATTCTCTCAAATATTTTTCCTACACCAGAGTTGAAACTGGACTCCTGAGTTTGTGACAAATGCATTAATTCTTTCTGACCAAAGCCCTGATCTGACTAAAGCATGTCCATTTCCCAGAGCTTAGTGTACGTACATATTGCCCCAACTTAGGGAGGCCATCAAGTCTGGGACACCCCGCACCCCCCTCAGCCTCCATGTGTCGCTCTGGTCTGTGCCGGTGGCCTTTGATTCACAAACATAGCTCCTGTATTGGCCAGCAGTGGCCTAAACTACAGTCAGGCTGGGATCCTCCTGCCATCAAACACCAGGGCTTCCAGCATGTAAGTGAGGTGATGGTCTCTGATTCTTCCCAAGCCAGCCTGAAGACTACCTCAGATCCTTTGGTGGGAGTGGGGACAATGAAGCCAAATATAAAGATTTTAAATACAAGCTGTTAGTGCTGTTTACAAGTGTTTTAACAGGCTGACTGAAGGCGAATTACAAGAGCTGGCAACTGCTCTGCTGTCATCTACCAGATAATTTGAGCCAAGCTCCCCACACGCAGTGGGGTCTCAGAGCCTTTGGCTGCAAGATCAGTGTGGTCAATACTAGGCCCCTGGGGACATTGAAGGAAGCTGTGCAGAGGAGGCATGCTCTGAAGGTAAGCACTGTGCTGTCAACTGTGTAGACAAATGTGTCCCAAGAGCCATAGGATGTGGGGATCACAGATGTCCTGGGTTATTTCTGGAGGTGGGGGGAAAGTGCAGCATCAAGCTGTGTGGCTATAAGCAGGAGGTCTACAGCCCTCCTACCGGAATATACACATCACCCCACAGTACTCAGGTCCTTCCTGATTTCTTTTTGTAGTGCTGGGGGTTGTAGTGCTGATGCAGTACTACTGAGCTACATTCCTGCCCCTCCCTCTTGGTTTTGGACTCTAGCTGTATATACAATTTAGCAGAACCATTTGGTCCCCAGAGCACCTCCCCCCCCGCCCCCAAAAAAAGGGTGGCAAAGGCAGCAAGTAAAAAGAGGCCAGATACAGTTCACACTAGAAATGCAATGCTTGCTTTGTCCCCAGAGGAAAATGTTCTCACGTGGCTTGACTTGACTTTTAAGAGTGAGTGGGATTCCAGGCACAATGGCTCTAAGTCCCACACTCAGTGGAGATGAGAATGAATCTCTGTCTGCAATCCCAGGATGCTGGGCCACAACTCTGCCCAGGTCTTGGTTACAGAGGGAAGAATGAAGTCTATCTGTGTGCGATGCCAGCCCCAATTTATAGGCCCCATCCTCTCGCTTCCCATGGAAAATTCAGAGTTGAAAAGACAGCGAGTAAAACAGACAGCACATCAACTGACCATGGACATAAAAGTTTAATCTGTTTCTTTTGAGGCAGTAATAGCAAGTGGCAGAGTGGCAGTCACACACAGTGGCTTTATGGAACACAGCCTCATGCATGGGGCCACCCCACAGGGCAGATGACCAGCCCCAGAACTTGTCCCCACCCCAAAGAATACCACAGTGGTTCTGGTGAGTTTTCGTGGGAAGCTACTACCGCAGGCCTGGGATGAGGGAAGAGCCTCATCCCACACCCAGGTCCAGCATGCAATACGGTATGGAAGCCTCCAGAAAGATAGATCCACATGATTTCTCCAACTATCACCCATGGTAATGGGCAGCACTGAGGCAGGTTCTACCCTGACTCATAGCTCACAGAGGAAAGGGATGGCTGAGATGGGCTCAAGCTTGCATTCTGACCAGGCTGCTGTAAAAGCCTAGCAGAAATGGCTCCTCTGGGTTCACTGGTGCAGATGCCCCCACAAGACTGTTGCATTTATGGAACCTCAGGACACGGACAGGAGGTTTGTAGAGGGCTCAGATCCACACTAGGGCAGGACAGGCAGTAATCCTGCCAGGAACACCTCCAGATACAAGTTAGACTTGCTAAAACACGAGAAAGCTTCAGCTACTTTTTTCCTTTGAAAAAGCAGAACCAAACCCTACATCAGTCAATCAGCTTTGTCATAACTAAGGCCTCTTGAGATGTGGGACATGGGTCCTTCCCTAATGGTCCCAAGCACCTATATGGCTCCCAAGATGGCTACAAAGGGCTGGGCCCACCTGGGTCCTTGACCCATTTACCAGGAGCAGAATCCCAGAGAGGGGGCAGAAGAAAGGCAGCTGTGGGGATGAAGTCTGAAGGGTACAAGTCTTCCCAACAGGACCAGGAGGCAGAGCTGGGACAAGGAGGCCCTATGGCTAGTGGCCCACAGGCTTCCAAACACAGGTCTTCAGGCTTCACCATGGCCACCTGACCAGACCTGAGAACCCAGATGCTCAAAACTAAAGACCTAAACTCATGGCAAGATGTGTAGTTTCATGGGGGGGGTGGCAGCTGGCTCCATCTCTGTTCACATCTGGGGCCATCCAAGACCACAGATGCTGCAAACTCCATTATTTCCTTTATAGGAAACCAGGAGGGCAGCACTGAAGAAAAGTAGAGCCCACCAGCTGCTGGCAGGGTGTTTGGAAACTGAAGTAATCAAGCCAGATGCCCACTGGTCCTGCTACGTGGGGTGCCTAGTCCTTGGGGAGGTTGGGGGGCGGGATCTGCAGGTCAGAGGGCTCCACACCCCAGATGTCCCGGGCATACTCCGTGATGGTCCGGTCACTAGAGAACTTGCCCGAGCAGGCAATGTTCCTGATGACCTTCTTGGTCCACTCTGTGGGGTTCTGCAGGGGAAAAAGAGGCTGATAAATCTTTGGCACCTTTAGCAAGGCTGAGGTCTCCTAGTTGAGCCTGAGTTTCTCCAACTTCAGGAGTGGTCCCAGATGAGCTCTGGGCCCCTGGGAAGCCTGACAGAAAAAGAGGAACTTAGAGAATCAGAAAAGCTACACTAGAGTTAAAAAGGAGGACTAGGAGGGTTTCTGTCCTGGAAAAACTGTATTAAGGTAAGCAATTGCCTCAGGTGGATTCAGTACCCTCAGACAAAGGGTCTCCTTTGACCCAGAGCTTCATAACAGCTCCTCCAGAGCTTCAAGCTGCTCCTAGGCTACAGCCAGCACTGGAAGAGGTCTCCATGATAGGGTCAGACTAGAGGTCAGCCCAGACTGAGGAAGGCCTCTCCCTGGGGCCTGAAGGGTAACTCGGTTTCCAGGCCTCCCATTTCTGGTCTTGGCTATCAGGGGCCATTTCCCCGAAACAGGAAATGACCGCAATTGACCTAGAAGCAGGTGGGACCCACTGGTGAAAAAACTGAAACCCCGCTGGCCTTAGCCAAGGGCTTATTTCCACTATGTGAAGAATCTGACCCAGTCAGTCCATCACTTCCCCAGAGTCCCAGCTGCTCTCTGCTGGTCTCTGGGCCTTGAGCCTTACCCGGTACAGCTGGTCCACCTGGGCCTGGCATTCCATGTAGGCTTCATAGTCTGCAAACACCTTGAACCTGAAACAGTGGCAGGAGGCTGGGTCAGGACAGCAAGCGGCAGGTGCCAAGGAATCCTACCTGGAACAGCCTCTGTTGTCAGAGGCTAGTCCCACAGCAGGGTCAGGAACTACCCATCTGGCCCTCACATCCTAGCTCTGTTGGAGACCAGGGTGAAGGACCCCGCTGTGTTTGTGGGCACTAGGCTGCACCAGATCCATTTGTCCACAGGGCTTTTCTGTGAGTAATATTATTGTACTGGAAATGCTGTTTCAGGGAAAATAAAACTCATTTCAGCACACTATTCCTTTAAGGGACTAGCATTTACAGTGCAACTAGCATGGGTGATCGGAGCCATACATGCTCGCACAGTCTACAGACTCAGCCATGAGCCCACTTCACCTGCCATGGCCAAGAAGCTCTTGCTGAGAGATGGCACCTTCTTTAGCATGTGTTTGCAAGTCTGAGAATTGATGACATAGACAAAAGTGCAGATTTATTAATTATTGAAATGCATTTCAGTTTACTATTGAGTCAGACGCACAAATTACAAAATTTACTGTTTGTATGTGTAGGGTGTGCATGTGCACGCACGTGCACTGGTACTGGGGTTTGAACTCGGGGCCTGGTGCTCAAAGCTTGCATTGAACCACAAAAGACACAGCTTCACTCGTGGCCTTTGGGTGGTTAATTGGCAAAAAGACACAGACTTTCCCGCCTGGGCTGGCTTTGAACCAGATGATCCTCATCTCAGCCTTCTGAGCAACTAAGTTTACAAGCATGACCCACCAGCATTCAGCTCTGAAATTCACTATTTATAAAGTTCCTCCTTGTTTGCAGAATGTAAGATGTAACAACTGGAAATTTTATTCCATTCTCTTTGAACTTCTACTTTCATTCTATTCTGCAAAGAATTTTTATCCTAATGTAATATATTTTTGTGCCTGGTTTTGGTTGATCATCCTGAGATACTTATCTGTAACAAAAATCATTTAGAAATTTTTTTATGTCATAAAAAATGTTCATTATAAGCCATCATAAGCAGGAGAGTATCCAGCTTTAGCACAGATATAAACAAGGATCATGATCTTGTCTGACTGAAACCAGCTTGGTGACAGTCTTAAAAAACAAGAACAGGGGCTGGGAAGGTGGCTCAGTGGTAGAGCACTTGCCTTGCAATCATGAGGCCCTGGTTCGATTCCTCAGCACCACATAAGCAAAAAGAAAAAAGCCGGAAGTGGCGCTGTGGCTCAAGTGGTAGAGCGCTAGCCTTGAGCTGAAGAGCTGAGGGACAGGGCCCAGGCCCACAGTTCAGGCCCCACAAAAAACAAACAAACAAAAAAAACTAGCCCAGTGGGCTGGGAAGGTGGCTCAGTGGTAGAGTGCTTGCCTAGCATGCATGAAACCCTGGGTTCTATTCCTCAGTACCATATAAACAGTAAAGGCCAGAAGTGGTGCTATGGCTCAAGTGGTAAAGTGCTAGAGTGCTAGCTTTGAGCAGAGAGAGGCTCACGGACAGGGCCCAGGCCCTGAGTTCAAGCCCAAGAATAGGCAAAAGAAAAAGAAAAATAACTAGATTCAACTTTTACCAGTAGGAAAGGATGAAGAGCTGCTACGAGAAGTGGGCTCTGCTGGCCTGTTAGGTACTTCAGATCAATTTTAACCCTATGTTAACTGCACTGTAACTAAATGCCAACTATAAGTTTAAAATGTCATTTGTGTGTGTGTGTGTGTGTGTGTGTTTGCGGTTTTTTGTTTTTGCCAGTTGTGGGATAGAACTGTCTCTGGGTTCCTTTTGCTCAAGGTTAGTGCTCTACCACTTGAGCCACAGCACTACTTCCCGTTTTTTCTGTGACTAATTGGAGATAAGAGTCTCACAGACCTTCTTGTCCAGGCTGGCTTCAAACCATGGTCATCAGATCTAAGCCTCCTCAGTAGCTTGGATTATAGGCATGAACCATTGGCACCTGTCCAGTTAATTCATTTAAATTGCAGTTCCACAGCCCTCCCTTCTTGGTTCCTATGTTGCCTGTGATCCCTGGACGCCCTCTACTGGGCTTCCAGCCAACCAAGGGACAGGTCTTCCAGCTTCCAGTTCCCACAGTCGTCCATGAACTCTCACCAAGATACTGCCTTACACTGTGTTTGGCTGTCTGGTCAGCTTAGATAAGGCTTCATGAAAGCATACGTCTTGTCCTCCAAATAATATAATTCTCAGCCCACCAGAAGGACCGTTCGTCCCAATGGTGGTAACTACACAGCTGACGGGAGAAGCAAGCAAGAGGGAGATTCACCCACCTGTCATGGTACATTAGCATGTTGACCACATCCTTGAAGCAGTCTGGATCCTTAGGAGAAAAAAAACCACTGCCAATCTGGTCCACAGCCTGTCTCAGCTCAGGTAGGCGTTCATAGAACTCTCTGGCATTGTACCTGTGGAGAGATTTGGTGCATTAGTGTCCCAAGACTGGCAGCTTTGGAGGACAAGTAGTGTACACAGACCCCAGCTTGTGTCTGGGGTCCAGAGCACCAGCTATCATCTATTGGCTACCAGCCTTTGAGAAATGGCTGGATTAAGTGATAACATACCGTAAGCCTTTAGTTTCAAGCAATGCTGTTACTAATGACTCACATTGTATGACTCACATTGCATTTCTATGAATGAGGCTGAGCCGCTCAGACTTGCCTTGCTGTGAAATCCTAGGCCAAGCTTTTAAAAATGCAGAAGCTGCCCTGAGAGGATCACCTTCTCTGAACCCAAGAATGAAGGAAAACCAAACTGAGTAAGCAGAGCCAGCCATGGTCATCAGAGGCCTGGGTGGGGTAGCAGGCGTGAAGATCCCAGGACACAGCAAAGGCGGGAAGATGCAGGTGGAAGCCTTGTACAGGCTCTGGGTGATGAGGACACAGTTGAATTTTGAGGTACATTTACGGGTGAACCCTAGTGCTTGTCTTTAAAGTCTTGCTGACGCCTCAAGACCTTTAAAGTCAATTATACAATACTGCCTTTTCTTTTAAATCTTCCTTCAGAATGAGGGTCAAGGTCAATGAAGCAGGGAAAACTAGAAATTTCAGCCAAGAGATGGGGAGCCTTGTCTGGGGTCCTAGGGCAGAAAGAGGGCATTAATGGAAAGACTGGTAAACTTAAGAATACAACATGGACTTTCATAGCTAGCAGTATTCTGCACTATCGCTTACTTTAACAACAGGGAACTGGGAGAAGGTAGATGAAAGCTGTATAGTGTGATTACGAAGTTTCTGCAAATGTAAAAGTATTTCAAAATAAAAAGATAATTGACGAGTTAGGCCAGGGATCAACAGTGAGGCCCCAAGTCAACTGTGTGCTTCTGGTGATGCAGGTGTTTGCTGTGTCTAGCACCAATGTCTAAGCTGTGTCTGTCTAGGAGGAGGCCCTTCCCCAGTAGTGACGAGTAAAGCCAGCCCTTCACTCACAGCCTGAGGTCCAGATGCTATGGACTGTCATAGAAACAAGTGCCAAGCTCCTACCCCAGCAGCCTCACAGGTATCCAGCATCCTTGAACCCTTGAAGGGACTGATCATCTCACTGAGCACATAGCCACTGGAAGGCCTTTCGGCCAGCGTTGGCCCCTTGCTCCATGCTGCTCTCCACAGCTTCCTCCCCAGAGCTGCCACATGCTTCATTAGCATACATGGAGGACTCTCACTCACCCTTTCTGGTCCAGAGCCTCAACATCTTCCACCCTCATGCCAAAGATGAAGAGGTTTTCGACCCCAGCTTCCTCAGCCATCTCCACGTTGGCCCCATCCATGGTGCCAATGGTGAGCGCCCCATTGAGCATGAACTTCATGTTGCCGGTGCCTGAGGCCTCAGTGCCCGCAGTGGAGATCTGTTGTGACAGGTCAGCCGCTGGGATCACTGCGGAGGGCAGAGAAAAATCAGCACCAGGCCCTGCTGTCTGATTTATACAGCTGCACTCCCTTCCTCCAGCTCAGGGCAGCCTGCGACTGAGCTTGCTACAGGACAAGCCAGCCATGGGGGACCCAGAGACCAGGCAGCTGTCTCCTTCCTGGTCCAAAAGTAGGGGGTCCTCTTCTTGATCAGTTCAGTCTGAGGCAGGGGGTCTAAGATAGACCATTGAGGAGAAGACCCAAGTGGCATAGGATTTTTGTTCTAGAGCTTTCAGGGACCAGGCCAATCTAAGTCAAGTGGGAGTCTTAGTCCTTGCTTGCTGACAATGTGGTTCTTTCATTTTCACAACACTGGTATCTTACTCAGTTACCTGATAAAACTCCTTGGATCATGCAAAAGGAACCTGGACTGCGGCAGGTTCAGTGGCTGTGAAAGGCTAAGAATACTATGCTCATGAGCACAGAAGCTACTGGGTGTGTACAGAATGGACCCTGTGCTCTGAGGTGGCAGGTAGACTAGACACAGCAGCCCTTGGAAAGGGCTGTGTTCTTATACACCCTGGCTGGACACCGTGGTCTCAATGTCCTCAGCTGAGACAAGGCCCAGGTGTGTCTAGCCTCCAGGTCCTGTGGTCTGCCTGTGTATTCCCAGGGCAAGTCTAGGGAGCCAGAGAGAAAGCAAGAGGCCCTGGGCTGAAGTACCAGATGGGTGCCCCATGGCCAGTTCTGAAGATGGAATAGATCAGCTGATCTCAACGTGAGTGTGAGGAGGAGTTCAAAAAGCAGAAAGGGGAGGAAGACAAATGAGAAGTTCCAGCAAGGTCTAGCAACATGCCAAATGTCCAGGCTAACACCTAGACAAACCTCAAACCTCCCTACTCAAAAAAAAATTTTGGGGGGGGGGGTCTGGTCGTGGGGCCTGAACTCTGGGCCTGGGCGCTGTCCCTCAGCTCTTCAGCTTAAGGCTAGCGCTCTACCACTTGAGCTACAGAACCGCTTCTGGCTTTTTTCTTTTTGCTTATGTGGTGCTGAGGAATCGAACCCAGGGCCTCAGGCATGCAAGGCAAGCGCTCTACCACTGAGCCAACTTCTCAACCCCCTCCCTACTCTTTTTAAATGCACTACCACTTGAGCTCTGAGGGGTTTGTTGTTGTTATTGTCGTTGTTTTTGGTCTTGGTCTTGTTTTTTTGTTTTTGAGGTCTTGATTCCTTTGCCTGTGCTAGCCTTAGACATGTGGTCCTCCTGCCCCCACCTCTCACACAGCTGCGTGCACCACCATGCCTGGCTCAAGCCCAGTTACTTGAGCCTTCCTGGAGACCTCTCTGCACCAGGCTGTTCATAGGGCTGGTTCTTCTTTGAGCGCAAAAGAAACCAAGTCAGCCTGTAGTCTTTACTATGATGGTCTGGAAAGCAGGCACAAAGATGTCTGTCTGATGCAAAAAGCCAGGCTGGAGGTATGGCTCAAGTGGTAGAACTCCACCCAAGCAAGCAAAAAGGTCCTGAGTTCAAATGCTAGGACCAGCAAAGGGAGAGAGGGAAGGAGGGAGGGAGAGAGGGAGGGAGGCAAGGAGGGAGGAAGACTGAAGAAGAAACCTAGAAGCAAACAGGTAGTGGTGAGCAGGGAGGGGAAGGCAGTGGGGAGAAGCCACTAGCAAGATGCACATCCTTCTAGCAAGAGAGACCCAGGAGCAGCAGGCACAGCTGACAGGCAGGAGGCTGTAAGGTGGGAGAACACAGACTAAGGCAGATTTGAGAAGGTCCAGAAAACGAGGACATTGCAAGCGCCACAGTCATTCTGCCTGTGATACCACAAAGGCTCTTCTTGAGCATGCTGCAGGTGTTCCACATGGGAGCAAGTACCTCCTGATGCTAACTGAAATGGAGAATGATCCTGGCCAGTACAGCCTACCCACTGGCCACGGGCCCCAGGCAGGAATCTGCCACACACACCCCCGCCCCCCCCCCCCCCCTCCAGTGGTACCTTTCTCAGCCAAGGACACTCGGTAGTTCTCCAGGAAGATCACTTTGAGTTTGTCACCCACAATGGGATCATGATTGACAACATCACCAATGGATGTGACCAACTTGATGATCATCTTGGCCATGTGGTAACCGGGAGCTGCCTAGAAATGAGGGTTAAAGGTGAAATGCTTTGTTCAGGGTCCATACTGGGGCAGGACAGCTGGCAGTGCCGAGGGGTCTCCAAGTGGGTCAACCAATAGCTGTGGCAGCCTAGTGCTGGGCTAGCCAGTAGACAGCAGGCCATGCCCCATGTTGTGGCCCTGCTGGTTTGGGGGAAGAAGGCCTGGCTCTGCCCGGAGGACAAGGCATCTACCAAGCCCTCCTCCGTGGTCATCTCACTTGTGATATTTGTCACCCTCGAGTTTCATTTTCTGATTCCAGCCAGCATTTCAGAAATTGCAAGATAAAAGAAACAAGGACTTCTAGAACTGTTAATTTACAGGAAATATAGAAAACTAAGCAACATACTGACCATACCAGAGGGATATATTCAGAAAAAGCCAGCCTAGGGATAATAACCCAGTATCTGTAACAAATGTATTGAAAATAAAATTTTATAAAGGTGTGTGTGGGGGGAGGGTCAGGCGCTGGTGGCTTATAACTATAATCCTAGCTAGTTGGGAGGCTGAGATGGGGAGAATGGCAATTTGAGGTAAGCCTAGGCATACTCCAGACCCCTTCTCAATCAACAGCTGAACTTGGTGTCACACACCTGTTTTTCTCAGTCACATGGTATGCTAAGATTGGGAAGACCAGCTAGGTAGAAAAGTCCAAGAGACTTCGTCTCAGTGGAAGAAGCAGGGCCTGGTGGCACGTGACTGTTATCCCAACTACAACAGAAAGCATAAAATAGGCAGACAGTATAGTCCAGGAACTGCCTATGTAAGAGGCAAGACTCTATCCTGTCTCAAAGATAACCACCAAAGGGCTAGGGGCATTGGTAAAGCACTTGTGTAGCATGTATAAGACCCCGAGTTCAAACACAAGTACCCACCAGAAAAGGAAAGGAAGACATGAAAAAAATATATTAAGAAATCAAGATCATCTAGCTGGGCACTGGTGGCTCAGGCCTATAATCCTAACTACTCAGGAGGCTAAGATCTGAGAATCATGGTTCGTTTGAAGTCAATCCTGGGCAAAAAACTACTTGAGACTCTCATCTCCAATAAACTACTCAAAAAAGCCAGAAGTGGAGCTGTGACTCAAGTGGTAGAGTGCTACCCTTGAGTAAAAGAAGCTCAGGGACAGTGCCCCGGCCCTGAGTTCAAGCCCCAGAACTGGCAAAAATAAATAAAGGTCTATATCCACTAATCTCAATACAAGGGCCATATCTGGGGTCTTGATTAAAACATTTAAAAATACTTGTGGGGCTGAGCACTGGTGGCTCATGCCTATATTCCTAGTTACTCAGGAGGCTGAGATCTGAAGATCATGGTTTGAAACCAGCCTGGGAAGGAAAGTCCATCACCAATTTAGCAGCCAAAAAAAAAAAAGCTGAAGTGGAGTTGTGGTTCAAGTGGTAGAACTCTAGCCTTAAGCACAAAAGCTCAGAGGCAGCACCCAGGCCTGAATTCAAGTCCTAGAACAGACATCAAAAAAATGATTTGTGAGGTTGGGGATATTGCTCAGTGGCAAAGTACTTGTCTAGCATGTACAAGGCCCCTGGGCCTATGCCCAACACTGACCAAAAAAACTTTAGCAATGGTTCAGACTTGAGTCTCAACTACTCCAGAGGTTTAGGCAGAAGGATCCTTTGAGCCCAGGTGTTCAAGGCCAGCCTGAAAGCCAGGCGCTGGTGGCTCACGCCTGTAATCCTAGCTACTCAGGAGACTGAGATCTAAGGATCACAGTTCAGAGCCAGCCCGGGCAGGAAAGTCGTGAGTGAGACTATTATCTCCAATAAACCACTAGAAAACCAGAAGTGGTGCTGTGGCTCAAGCAGTAGAGTGCTCACTTTGAGCTGAAGAGCACAGGGACAGCGCCCAAGCCCAGAGTTCAAGGCCCACGACTGACAAAAAAAAAAAAAAGGCCTGCCTGAAAATATAGAAAGATCCTGTCTCAAATAAAAATAACAATTGTGGCTTTACTAAGACAAATAGGTACATGGTCCCCGAGTGGATGGTATTTCCTGTTCAGTGAGTGGGTGTAGTGTGTGGTGATGTTAACAGAGCCTTGTAACTACTGTGGTTTTGATGTGACCTCAAGAGTCTTCATGTTTGGCATATGCTCTGAAATGGCTCAATGTAAGTATGGAGATGGGTTTATGGATGTAGTGTAGACTTCTTTTCTCCAAGTTTCAAGTTTTTCATAGTAACATTTAAAAACTTTTGCTTGTACTTAGATTTGAACTCAGGTCTTTGTGCTTCTAGGCAGGCACTCTACCACCTGAACCATGCCTCTAACCCTTTGTACCTGGACCATGACCCTATTTTCACCTCTCATGTAGCTGGGATGACAGGTGCACACCACTACACTCAACTTACTGGTTGAAACTGGGAATGGAGGAGGAGGTCATAAACTTTTTGCTTGGGCTGGCCTCAAACATGATTCTTCCCAGCTCCACATCCTAGGACAATGGGCACTAGCCACCACTATGTATGTTACATACAGAAATATCAGTGAACAAAGACAGCAGGATGTCCAAAAATTGTTTTAAAAATACAAGGTGATGCTAGGTGCCACCGTGGCTCCTGTATTCCTACTCTGGATGCTTAGATCTGAGGATTGCAATTTGAAGCCAGCCTGTGCAGGAAAGTCTGTGACACTTATCAACAACTAACCACCAAAAAGCTGGAACTGGGAGATGCAGCTCCAAGTAGTAGATTGCTAACCTTGAGCAAAATAGATCAGGGACAATGCCCAGGCCCTGAATTCAAGCCCCAGAACTGGCATTGAAAAAAACAACAACTAGATGATAGAGTGGGAAGAGACAAAAACAAAGTGAGATGAGGGGGTATTGGCTTGAGGAGGAGCTGTCTCCCCTGTGGCTACCTTTACAAGTGATAAAAGTCCAAGGGAGATGCTGCTGACCACCTATATGGTATATATGTGCACATCAGAGGGAAACTAGGAGGAGGACACCAGAGGGAAAACATACAACAGCAGGACCCATCAGTTGCACTGGACATTGATTAAAACAAATTAAGCAACTCAATGGCAGTGATGGGAGGGAGGGAATCAGAGGGAAAGAGGAAACAGCTGACACTGAGCAAAAGGAAAGGAATGTACATATCACCTGACATGGAAGAAATAACTATTGTTAAAGCTCATAGAACTCAAACTTTATAGACCATGACAATTTGCCCTAGGAAGGTTAGAATGTCTTTGTGACTTTAAGTATACTATCCCACAATACTGTGAAACTGTGAAACTTATGTAATCACTTAATCACAATGAAAAAATTGCAAAAAAAAAAAAAAAAACCCAAGGGAAGGACAGGTCTGCAAGCCAGGGATAAATACCTGTGCCCCCTCACATACACCAGCCTTATTGCCTGTTGACCTGCCCCATGGTCCAGGACCACCCCATATCAAAGCTGGCAATCCCAGTAGCCCACATTCCCCAGTGAAGTCCCGGCCACTGGCCAAGTATAAGGAAGCAATGACACCATTCTTGTGTCACACTAACATGAACTGAAACCATACTGAAGTGGACGCCTGTGGTAGATAAATCAGCCACAGCCAACCCAGCATCCTGATCACAAAGCATGAAATCCTGGGAGTAAGCTGGGACAAGGGATGCACCCTCTAAGGGGTCTCCAACATGCCCACTGGGGACTCCTGTGGGCTGGGCAGGCAGGACCAATCCCATTTCCTCATGTTCAGCCAACCCTGTCAAGGGCTTCTCTCATCCATAAGCACCCCAAAAGTTAGGTGCCCCTGGCATTGTGTGTGTGCGTGCTGGCATCTGCCTTCTGAGTGTGGGGCCATGTGGTTATCCTGGGCCCAGGATCAAAACAAGTGGAAAAGATGTTACCTCACCTTTCCCCCTATCATAACGGTCCTGGGCACAAAGGCCTTGGTTGGGTCCTTCTTTATTCCTGCAGGACAAAGGGAAGAGGTTCAAGTGGGACAGTGTGAAAACAGACATCCCTACCCAGTATTGTACAGTGACCCAGCAACCTAGAGTGTGGACAGGTAGGTTTGGCAAAGCATGTTATGGTGTGAGAAGCACAGGTATGTGGCTGCAGCAGGTGGTCCCAGCAGACCACTGCCATTGAACCACGCAGACACCTTTCCTGGAAGGTTCAGGAAAAGCCGTGCCTATGTTTCCAGGAAAGCTCAACCTGCCAGCCTGTCTGGCCCTGGTCACCAGCATTCAAGGGTAGGGAGAACACGAGAACCCAAGGTTTTTGATGTGTGACAAGTTATGTAGTGGAAGATTTCATTGTTACCTTTCCATGGGAGAACTTTTTTTTTTTTGTCCGTTGTGGGCTGAACTCTGGGCCTGGGCGCTGTCCCTCAGCTCTTCAGCTCAAGGCTAGCGCTCTACCAACCACTTGAGCCACAATGCCACTTCCGGCTTTTTCTGGTGCTGAGGAGTTGATCCCGGGACCTCATGCATGCAAGGCAAGGACTCTACCGCCACTTGAGCCACCTTCCCAGCCCCAGAACTCATGTTTTTAAAACATACTGTAAATGTGTTTTGATGACACTGAAAGAGGGCATCATCAGCCCCTGAAGTAGTGAAGAGTGAGACCCGGTCCCCAGACTGCCTAGCTGGGCCATGGGGGTATGCTAGGATTTGGAAATGTACCCAAAGGCCCACAGGCTAAAGGCTTGTTGCCAGCATGGCAACTTCCTTCCAGTAGAAGGAAGTTAGGTCACTGGAGGGACTGTACCTACTGGGACTCTGGTCTCTTCCACTCTCTGCTTTTTAGCAGCCACGGGGTGATCAGGCCTCCTCTCTCACATGGTCCCACTATGATAAACTGTGCTGTAACAGGGCCTATGGAGCATATGCTGAAACCTTGAGCAAAAGGAACTTTTCTTCCTAAGCTGACTGTCACAGCAATGGAAAGCTGATGGTATGATAGGCATATATCACCATGCCTGGTTTATGGTCTTTTTTTTTTTTTCTTAAGCGAGAGGACCTTAAGAGAGCTGGCCTAGAACTTGCTATGTAGCCCAGGCGGTCTCAAACTCACAGCCTATTACTTTAGCCTCCTAGTGCTGGGATTACAGTTATGCAACACCATGCCTGACTTCATTATTACTATTTGTTGCTGGTACTGGAGTTTGGAACACAGGGCCTGCCTCATGCTCACTCAGCTTGTTTGCTTAGATTGGCTTTCTGCTAGTCATTTTTGAGAAAGAACCTGGCATAATTTTCTGCCCAGGCTGGCTTATAAGCTAGGAGTACAGGCACCTAGCTATTATTCTAATTTTCATATGTACAAATTAAACGCCTCAAATAACCACAGCCTTTTCAAACAAGGTAAAACTTGTAGAAATATTAAGCTTAAAGTTGAAACTAAGTCTGCCTTGGAGCCCACAAAATCCTACCTCCCCTGAGGCCCTGGCCTCCAAGGTCCCATAACCCCTTGAGCTTTAGTTTGTGTGCTTATCAATCACCTGAGCACACAGAAAAGCATGGCCATGAATGAAAATAAAGCTCCCTGGGACCCACACTCACGGTTGTACAGGGTGATGATATGCAGGCAATTAAGCAACTGCCGCTTGTACTCATGGATCCTCTTCACATGCACATCAAACATGGATGAGGGGTTGATCTTCACCTTGTACTCCTGCTCCAGGTGGACAGAGAACTTCAGCTTGTTTTCCTGGGGAAAAGGAAGGAGAAGAATGGCCACATAGTTCATACAAACTTCTGGAGAAGCTCTCAGGATCCCAGTAACTGGCTTTCCATTCTGCCCAGAGAACACCACTGCAGGCAGAGGACATCGGGGAAGAACAGAGAACAAAGGTGACACTGAAAATGGACATACTGGGTCAAGAGTGGCAAAAATTAAAAAATAAAAGGCCTGGGTGCAAACCTGGTGCATAACAAGAGAGCAGAAGGGAGGGACTGGTCAGAGTGTTGTGGAGTCAGGGTGAGGCTTGGGAATGAGAAAAGGTTTCAGAGACTGAAATGGAGATGTCTGGTGCTTCTGAGACCACTGTAGGCATTTGAGATGGTACTCAAGGCACTCGTCAACACTGAGGCCACAATCCTGCCAGACATCACATGGGTGATAGAGACCTGGCTCTAGTTTAGTGATGAATTCCCATGGCAGGTAGCTTCCAGAGACTTCTCTACTCCCTGGTGGCAACACAGTGAGCAGGATTAAGCTGAGAATGGCTGGGGGCTGCTAAAACCGGCCCATTGATGACCAGAGGTCAGCAGAGTCCTCATCTGGAAAGAATGGATCCCTAACTCCCTGATCCCTGGTGAGGGGCTTTTTCTTGAGGGTGCCGAAAGGGCCCACACAGGCTGCGGTATGAAGCAAGGGAGGCAGACTGAAGTGCTGTGCAGGCCTACCTGCTTGGCCTTGGCCACATCCCTGATGAGTGCCTCATCACTGACCAGTGGCAGCAGCTTCTTCAGTTGGCTCAGGTCAGTCAGGAAGTCCTCTCCAATTCTCTGGAAACATGAAATAGACATGTGGCATCTGTTCAAGCCCTAGCTTCCTTCCATCTGTCACCTCATGCCTCTGTTTCCTCAGAGACTTACACCTTAGGACCCTCACTCCCATGGCCATGTGGCAAGGAGAGCCCTGCCCTGGCTTCAGCTTGCTCAGTGGCTCGGAATGTCCAAGTCTAATATCTCAATCATGTCCGGTGAACTCATCAACTTCCCTGTCTTTGACTCCCAGGATCCTTGACTGAGATGTCCCCTCACAGGCTGACACCTGGGGCCAGCAGGAGTGAGGGAGTGTCTTCTCATAAAGCAGCAGTTTCTAACTACCTAGCAGAGGCTCCAGGCTGACTGGGCCTCTCTGTAGCATCTCTTTGTCTTCCAGATCCCAAGGAGGCCCTGGCACTGTATCATATCTTCCCTGTGTTGCTCCTGGGAGAAGCCCTCCCTGATCTGAGCCTCTGTCGGGCAATCTCCCCACAGCAGCCTCAGAGTACTGCTGTCCTTTTGAGAGTCCTTGGGTACCACACCCACAGCCACCTGTGCAGGCCTGACTCTTACACAGTGCCTGTAGGCACATGGAAAGAAGCTGTAATGGCTTGGGCTTCCTATCTCCCCTAGCATAGTCACTGAGGCCCAGGGCTGCCCCTCAACAGCACCCTGGCCCCATCCAAAGCCTATGCAAGCTTCTGAACCTGGACACGTGGCAGAGGCAAAGAAGTCTATCTGCCCAGGAGCCTAACCTGAGCCTTTCCAGGGCCAAACTGCCATGGGTTCACAACCACCACTCAGTGAAGGGCTCAATGATGCTGCCAGTGACAGCTACAGCCTGTAACTATGGTCCAGGACTTCCGGTGTCCCCTCGTGTCCCAACAGGACACAAAGCCAGGCCAAGACTCACTTCCACGATGATGTCCGCCAACCCAGGGTTACACAGCAACAGCCACCGCCGAGGTGTGATGCCATTTGTCTTATTCTGGAACTTCTCTGGCTCCAGCTCATAAAAATCCTTAAAGCTACAAACACAGAAAACAGGAAACTGTCACAGATGTGTACATGAGATGTAAGGTGGTTCTCAGGAGACCCCTGTGAGGTCCTGAACTGGCCATCATGCTGCGGTCTCAGTGCTCATGGGTCATATCTAGCCCCTGACCACCATTTACCCAAGCCCTACACAACTCCCCAGATGAGGTGCTGGTGGAATGTGGTTGGCAGCAGATAGAACATTAACTCCTGACTAGACTGCCCAGCGCCACCCTCTTGCCACAGGTGAGCCTGGGGGTAAGGTGGGTGCCTTCATCTCACAAGTGAGTGGCGTGGGACTGTGCCAGTTATCTTGGTCATGTGTGTGTAGCAGACAATTCTCGAGCCAAGCCTAGGTATTGGAAAGGTGCCCACTCAGCTCTAGGAAAGCCTCTCACTCACACAGATTGCTTCACGATCTCTGAGTGGATTCTGGCCACACCATTCACAGCGTGGGAGCCAATCACACACAGGTGTGCCATGTTGATTCGCTTGCAGTCTCCTTCCTCGATCACAGACATCCTTCTCAGGCGGTCTACATCCCCAGGAAACAGGGCAGCTATGTGCTGAGGCCAAGAACACAGAGCAAGGGTGTAGGTTCAACACCTCACAGCAAACCAGGGGTCAGCCCACCATATCTGCATCCCTGTAGCCCAGGGGCTGCTACACACAGACCTGTACTCAGACACCCTATGGGGCCCCACATCCTGGATGGATGATCACCCTCACAGGCCTGGGGGGGTCCTGGGCCTGGAATGGGACCTACAAAGCTGCACTAAGGACAGATACTGGCAGGGTGGGGATGTGCCATTTATTTTACAAGGAAGAAGCTAGTACAGTGCCCCAGTAAGCTAAGCAGCACTCAACTACATTTCCACCAACAGGATGGCTGTTTTCTCACACAAAGGTTAAAAAGGACATGGCAGGTCAAGTGCCATAGCTCACTCTATTCCTAGCTGGATGAGAGACTCAGACTGTGAAGACTGTGATTTAAGACCAATCCAGGCCAAGTTCTTGATAGCTGGACATGGTGGCATGCAACTGTTGTCCTAGTAGCATAGGTACATGTCTGGGCAGGAAGCAACAGCATATATTGAAAATAATTAGCTGGAGGAATGGCTCAGCAATAAGAGCACCTGCCTGGTGAGTGTGAGGCCCTGAGTTCAAACCTCAAACCTACATACTGGCATAACTCACGAACAGTCCTTGCCTAGTGTATAGCCTTGGGTTCATCCACAGCACCACATACATACGATACAATTACCCCTGAACCCATGTTCCCTGCTTCTATACCATTGTCCTCTCTGCAGACAGCACAAGAAGGACAGATGGGACTGTTGAATCTTGCCGAGTTGTCAGGATACACACAGGCCAGGAAGGGACACTAAAATCTATCTAAAGCCATCTTGGAAATGGACTTTAGAAGACCTGAATCAATCAATCCCACAATACAGTGTGGAAGTCAGGCAGTAGGCAGTCAAGAATTCTGCCAGGTATCAGTCCCTGGTCCCCAAGGAGTAAGCATCTCCTCTCCCAGGCTAGAGGGGAGGTGGACCAATGCTCACATCCAAGCGCCACTGGCAGATAGTAGTGGTGTAGATGATGCCCCCCCCATGCCACTGCCCACTGGCAATGCTCACATCCAGGTGCCGCTGGTTGATGGCATAGATGATGTCCAGGTGCCTTGGCAACAGCTTCTCAAACATGGACACAGGCCAGCGCTCCAAGGCCTCAGGCAACACAGTGTGGTTGGTGTATGCACAGGTCTTCTTGGTGATTTCCCAGGCCTAGACATTGAGAACAGCATGGCAATTTTGTTTAGAAACAGATCCCTAGGCAGGCAACAGTCTAGGATCACAGGCAGACCCTGGAGCCATCAGGAAGTGCCCACTGACACTGTCCCTGCTCTGCAGGGCTGGTCTCCCTCTCAAAGTCTATAGTTCCACTGCTGACACGACACGCCTAAATTTTATATCCTCTTGTGTGAACAAATGCATAACCTACTCCCTGAGAATCACCTTTTCCACTCTCAGCAAACCGACAGAATGCTGAGCAGTTTCTATTTATTTCTACTAAATTATCTGTGACCTGCAGTATGGAGGGAGATGGTTATCATGTGGCCTCATCCTTCACTGACCTGGACTAGGCGCAGCCTCACAGGGAGTGCACATAGCCCAAGGCCAGTCTATGAATGGAGTAAAAAAGTTACTTCATATTTTATGTTAATATAGTTAAAGCCCAATTAATAAAGTCCTGCTATATCAAAGAATCTAGGCCCAAAGAAATTAGGCTATGAGAACAAGTCATATTAGAATAATGTCATACTAAGAATGAAATATACATATGTCTTATATGTATTTCTTAACACTCACCAAACTTTAAGAGAATAAAGCACATCCAAGAATCCCTAAAAAGTGGGCTGGGAAGGTGGCTCAGTGGTAGAGTGCTTGCCTTGCATGTATGAGGCCTTGGGTTCGATTCCTCAATACCACATAAGCAGACAAGGCCAGAAGTGGCACTGTGGCTCAATGGTAGAGTGCTAGCCTAGAGCTCAAGAGCTCAGGGACAGTGTCCAGGCCCAGAGTTCAGGCCCCACACCTGACTTAAAAATAAAGAATCCCTAAAAAGTGTCAGAATCGGGGCTGGGAAGGTGGCTCAGTGGTAGAGTGCTTGCCTTGCATGCATGAGGCCCTGGGTTCGATTCCTCAGCACCACATAAGCAAAAAGAAAAAAGCTAGAAGTGGCGCTGTGGCTCAAGTGGTAGAGCGCTAGCCTTGAGCTGAAGAGCTGAGGGACAGCGCCCAGGCCCAGGCCCCACGACCGGACCCGCCCCCTCCCCCCCCCCAAAAAAAGTATCAGAATCTTTTCCTCATTTCCTGTCTTCAGCACCCTTGTCCTACTGTGTTGCCATTCCACACAGAATCCACCTCTTGGATCCACTCCCTCCCATGGCCTCCGTACTCTCAAAGGTGAAGTCCTCAGCCCTGCTGAGGCTGGGAGGTGCCACTTTCCCAGGACCAGCTCACCCAGTCATAACCATAGCAGTGCAGGCTGGAGGGCCACAGAGAATACCAGAGAAGACCTGGTCTCTTTACTCACCTTGTCCCAGTCCACCTTCTCCACATCTACCAGGATCCGCATGAGCTCAGGAATGGAGAGGGCAGGGTGGGTATCATTCAGCTGGATGGCTACCTGCAGTTCACACAAGGGGTGCTGTTCGGTTGACTCGTCTCTCATGAGCATCCAGTGATGGGTGTAAAGGATCTGCCTAGCAACTCCAGCAGCCTCAGAACCCAGAGGGCCTGGGGAACAATCCAGGAGGGTGCTACTGGCTCTATAGCCAGCCATGCTCTGCAGGAGGCGGCAGGGGCTGCAGGACCCATGCCCTCCCACACAGGGTTTCCCCTGCTAAGCTTTGCTTAAGATGACTTCCAAATGCCAGGATTTGCCAGAAGAGCTCTTCAATGTGTCCTCCCTGCCTTAGCTCTTAATACCACCAGTGCTTGTCCAGCTCCTGGGAGAGGACCCTGAATGCAGTCCTGACCCAGGATGATGAGACCTTGTGACCCGGGCACACTGCCAGCCTGCTCCAGCCCCTCCCAGGTTATGAGGAAGAAACCTCAGGAGTCTAAGAATACCCTGTGTCCCTGCCTGCACGGGGCTTCCTCCCCATCAATCACACACCTTGTCGGGAAATGTCTCGAAACAGGTTCTCACTGGGTCCCGGCAGCCAAACCTAGATGACTTAAAGCGGCGAATGATGTCCTGGAGGGTAGCGGCTACCACGAAGTACTCCTGCTTCAGGCGGAGTTCCTTCCCCTCGAAGAACTGCCAACACAAGATTGACTCACCAGCACAGGCCAACCACAGCCAAGGTACCAGTTCAGGCTGGGGAATGCCAAACTGGGAGGGGTCCTGCACAACCCAATTGTCCCTACTGTTCAGGGTTCATCTGATCCCCATGGGAGGCCCAGGTCGGGCACCTAGCTCAACAATAGGTGGCCAAGCCAAGCCTGCCTGACACCCAAGCCTATGTGTGCACCTTCTGTGTACAGGGAAGGAAGAACAGTCAGCACAGGGTCACCACTTGTATGACAAACCACAGGACAAACATTGTAAGGGGACAGATCCCACAAGAAGCCCCAGCTAAGCAGAAACCAGCATCCAGCAGCTCTGGAATGCACCTTAAGTCTGCGGGAAGGGGGAGCAGACCATATTCATTTTGTTACAAGTCTTTGTTAAGCTGTGCACAGGTTAACTTTGGTAAAATAAAAGAGTTCATTTTAAAAAGTGCATGCTTCACCAAGTTAGGTAATTTTGATGACTTTTGGGGGGGGGCAGAGGGGTGTTGGGAATTAAACCCAGAACCTCGTATGTTCTAGACACATCCTCCACCAATGAGCTATGTCCTATCTGACAACAATGACAACAACAAGCTGCCAGATACTAAGTCCAGAGAACTGGGCATGACCACCACCTAGCACATGATGGGCACGTGCAAAGAATCTCTGCACCATCTCCAGGCAGTGCCAGGGACAAATGGGTCTTCCAGTCTTTGGGGAGCCAGGTGATGCACTAGAGGTACATCACAGGCCAACCCATGGTCTGATGGGCTCTGCAAAGTGACACTGCCCACCCTGAATTGGGTAGCATCTGCTCAGACCCAAACGAGGTTCATGCGGATTCACAGGGCTTCAAGGATAACCAAGCCTGCCCTACTCCCAAGAGCTAGTGTGCAGTCTAGATGGGAGGGTCGCCAGCAGCCCCACATGCACAGCCTGTGTGAGGTCAGCTCCAGGCTCTGCTGGAGGGCCTGACCTCCTGCTCACAGTCTAACTGGAAAGAGGCCTGGCCAATGAGGATCACAGGAAGTAGCTACTCACATTGTCATTGGGATACAGGACCCTGGATATGTTCTCAGCCAAGTTCCTGTCCAGGACAGCCTCAATGTAGTCCCCTACGTTGACTAAGGAGAGACAGCATCTGGGTCAGTACACACCTCCTCTCAGCCTCTTGGGGAATTGTTAAGCACGAGCGTCACAGCTGCTCAGCTGCGTCTTCAGGAAGGGCAAGAAAGCAGGACCTGGGCAGGGAGTCCCCAGAGCCACTGTCGTACCCCATCTCATCCTGGCAAAAGTGGTGCTTAGCTGATCCCATAGTGCCCTACACACGTGTCCCCAGCCCCTTCTCTTGTCATAGGTGGTCCGAATGACTGCAACCCTGGCTGCTGGGCCCTGGATCTGTGTTCACTCTGCCTGTGCTCACAAGGGAGCTTTGAGGAGTTTAGGTACACCCAGGCACATGCTTTGCAGAGAACTAAGGGGATATGCTGGCATGTCCAGCAAAGAATGCAAAGAGGGGAAATGGAGTGGTGAGCACACAGCATCGGGGCTAAGTCATCCATACAGAAACAGGAGCAGGGTGCAACGTACAATCCTGCAGCTTGAAGTCATTGGGCGCCTTGGCAGACCAGAGCCTCATGGTGTTGACAGTGTTGTTCTTATAGCCGGGTACTGGGGTGTCGTAGGGCATGGCGAGCACCACCTGACCACAGGGAAGAGACACTCAGGGTTGAGGCCACAGGGACCCTGTCCCTTTCTTAGCTTCCATGTCCCCTGCTAGGGAGGCTCCAACTTCTCTATAAGCCTCTCCAATATATGCCATGAGACCTGGGACCCAAGGGCTTGGCCAAGAGGGAGGATCTGAACACTGGTCCAGGACACTGGCCCAGGCCTGGCTCAAATACCCAAAGCTCTGACAGCTCAGAGAGCCATGAGCCAAATGTGGCACCAGAAGGCGAAGCTTCACAGAGGTATTTGGGGAGCTATTCTCATATACGCAAGGGGAAAAGGCCCTATCACTATCAAGACAAGTATGTTTTTGGGTTCCCCCTAGTAAGCAACACGAGTTAGCAGGGTAGCCCCCGTGCTCAACCACCGCCTCAGTACCTGCGTGTCCAGCCACTTCACGCCATCAGGGGTGTGCTCCACTCTCCCGTAGAAGTGAACGGGAAGCATGTACTCGGGCCGGGCTTTCTCCCAGGGGTTGCCGTAGCGGAGCCAGTCATCAGCCTCTTCAACCTGCAGGGGGAACAAACAGCTAGGGGTATCTATTACCACACCTTTTGCTCCTAATCCCAGCCCTACTTCATCTGTGACTTTTAGGGTCCAATTTTTTTTTTGGGGGGGGGGGTCAGGTGGAAGGCTTGAACTCAGGGCCTGGGTATTGTTCTGGTTTTCTGGAGGCTAACTGTAAAGTCTCATGGGCTTCCCTGCCTGGCCTGGCTTCCAACTGTGATCCTGATCTCAGCCTCCTGAGTAGGTTATAGGCATGAGCCACTAGCACCCAGCTTGATTTTTTTTTTTTTTTTTTTTGAGATAAGGTTCCACTAAGTTGTCCAGGATGGCCCTGAACTCATGATTGTTCTCAGCCTCCTGAATAGCTGAGATTACAGGTATGTGCCACAACACTTGCCCCCAAAAATATTAAATAAATTATTCTCCACCCAACTGGAAGACCTCTGACTTCTATTCTGAAGTGCCCTTGGCCTGGCTGAGTTTAGGGAGACTACAGGTTGAGATCAGGCCCTTCTCACTGACACGGTCCTGACCACCTCACTTGCTGCGGTTTAATGCTTTAACTAAAGTTCACTCTCCCCAAGGGCCTCTGACCTTATGAGGTACGGTCCCCTCATTCATGTCAGAAGTGAATGCAGAAGGTAGGAATGAAATCTATAATAAACTGCTTTTCTAATTACGCCAAGTCAACTGCCCCTGAAGATGAACCCCAAAAGCACTGCCTTCTATCCATGTCCAGATACCCCTAGAAGCAAGCATGCAACGCATAGCATCCTACTCCTTGCTGCAGGGACTCCTGTATGACTCAGTCAATCTCCTATGTCCTGGCCCTGACTTCCCTGTCACCATGTCTGCAAGAGCCTACACAGGAACCAACTTGGCCAGAGCCAGGCAGAACTGGAAGTGCCCAGCACAGCTGGCTGCCTTCCTGCTGCACTTTGCAGACCATCTGCAGGTTGTCCAGTGAGTATACAGCAGGACAGCCTAACTGAAAGAATACCTGAGGACAGCTGGAAACCAGTGAACTAGGTGAACTAGGCCAATGTCACTCACCTGCCAGCCATTGACAATCTTCTGGTTAAAAATCCCAAATTCGTAGCGGATCCCGTAGCCATATGCTGCCAGCCCCAGGGTGGCCATTGAATCAAGGAAACAGGCTGAAAAATCCAATCACAGACTATCAGCAGAGATTGAGGCTGCTGGGAACCAAGGCCTCTTGGGAGGTAACAGAGTCAGTAGTGACCACAACCAGCTCAGTTTCATGAAAGCGAACACTCTGACCTTGAAAGCCGGAGGCTATGCCAAGAAAATACCAAGGCAAAGATGTGGGAGAAGACAGGAGGAAAAAGAGTCCCACAGAGGTCATGATAAGGCCAGGTACCTCTTTATTGGCCAAGACCCGTTCCTCCCTGCCAGCTCTCTCTCAGACACATGCACTAAGGCATGAGGCCTCCTCACCTCTCCACACGGAGTCCTCTCTACATGTTAAGAAAGCAGGTCTGGAAATTAATGACATGTAGTTCATGGCCTAGAACATTCAAATACCCAAGGTCTAAAGCGCAGCCAGGGTCCCAGAATGTAGGGGAAGTAACATGTTACCGAATTCAGCCCTTGTTCCAATTAAAACTTGAGAGAGAAACAAAACAAACACAATGTTTTACATGAAGATTCAGCTGGAACTGGGTACAATGGCTTACACTGAGATCCTAGCTACTTAGGAGATTAAGAAGATCTCAATGCAAAGGTAGCTCAGGCAAAATGTTTGGGAGACCCTCATCTTAACCAATGAGAAGCTAGGCATGGTATGCATGCCTAACATGCCGGCTCTTGCAAAATCCTAAGCAGTAAGGTTGTAGTCTAAACCTGCCTGGACATAAATGCAAGACCCTATTCAAAAACTAATTAAAGAAAGGCTGGGAAGGTGGCTCAGTGGTAGAGTGCTTGCCTTGCATGCATAAAGCCCTGGGTTCGATTCCTCAGCAGCACATAAACAGAAAAGGCCGGAAGTGGTGCTGTGGCTCAAGTGGCAGTGTTAACCTTGTGCTGAAGAGCCGAGGGCAGTGCCCAGGCCCAGAGGTCATGCCCATGACTGGCCAAAACAACAACAGCAACAACAATAACAACAAAAAAAAACACTAATGAAAGAAAAAAGGCTGAAGATATGGTTCAGGTAGTTGAGGAACTGACTAACAAATGCAAGGCCCAGAGTTCAAACTCCAGTACTGCAAAACAAAAATCAAACTCAGAAAGAAACCTCACTAAATTTCTGGATTAAAAAAGCACTAGGCATGTTACTCAGTGATACAGCACTTGCCTAAGCATATGCAAGTCCCTGGGTTCAATCCTTAATACTAGAAGGAAAGTAAGGGAAGGAAAAGAAGAGGACAGAAGAAAGAAGGACCCATCACATGGAACACTAGAAAATAAACATCTAGTTCATCAAACAAGCAGACACCTGAGTGTCAGTTGCTCTGCTGAGGAGACAGGTGAGAAAGATCAACAAATCAGACTCATGCTCTTGTAAGGAGACTCAGAATTGTAGGAGGGAAACGGACATCAAGCCATGGTAGGCTTGATGCTGCTTGGGTCTGCCATGGTGGGAGGGGTCCTAGCAGGTAGCAGGTCATTTGCAGGAGGCTACAGAGGACTCTGGAAGTGGAGGAGGGGCAATGCTAGTTCAGGACATATTGGAGGAAAGTGGCAGGATAAAGTGTCTGGAAAAGTGGAAGGCACCATTCTACTGTGGGCAGATCCCCAAGGTCAGAGAGTGGATCAGCCTCAAGCTCAGAGACTGAGTTTACCAGCCATCCCTAGAGCTGTCCCAGGGCTTTTAAGAAACATATAGATGCCAGAAGAGACCAAGGAGGCTGTGACTTCCTCTACCCTATAAGGAAAAGTTCTATATTTGCGGAAGAAGGATAAAGTAGGAAGTTTGTGACGCACAATTCAATGTCACAGTGCTGGGGGAATGGGATGCTGAGACACTAGCAGCTTAGTCCCCAGCAGGGGATGCCTAAGTATGCAGCTGACACTCAAGGAGTGCACGCTATGCTCTGCCAGCCTGGACATGGTCTCCGGGAGGGAAGGCAGCAATGGCAGGATGTGCCTTGCTTAAGTACACGGCATATGAGGATGGTGCGGAGGACTCACGTGGGGATAGGGCAGGAGGGGCCAAGTTTTTCTTTATCTAGATTCATGTGCTGTTTATTCAAGAAGAATACATTCAACATTTTGACAAATTTAAGGTAAAATTTGAAAAACATACGGGTATTTTTTGTGGGGAGGGGGCGTCAGTTGTGGGGCTTGAATTCAGGGCCTGGGCGCTGCCTCTGAGTTCTTTGCTCAAGGCCAGCCCTGTATCACTTTGAGACATAGTTCCACTTCCCTTACAGGTATTTGATGGACCTCAGTTTATGGCAATTGGCAAAAGGTGTTGGGACTCAAAATGGCTAGGCCCCTCTACACAAAGGGCCACAAACCCACACTGCTGTCCCCACATCCATGTTCTTTATGTTGCTCCCTCTTCTAGGGAAGGATGGCAGAGATAATTAAAACAGAAAACTCAACTGGGGATTCTCTCAAGTGCAGGGGCTGGAAGGAACACATGATATGCCTGAAAAGGCGCAACTGCTAGGCCAGTGCCAGGGCCTACAGCAAGAGAGTGAGCTGTAGCACTTGAAGTCAGAGACACGTATCAGGCTTCTAGCCCTCTGTCCTGCTTCCAAATTCAGGCTTTTGGACCCTGCAAGGCGGTCAGCACACTGGACACTTTCTTAGCACCAGCTGGCCTGACCCTATTAAGTGTGAAATGCCCTAATACTAAAGAAAATGGACATCTCCCACTTTTTTTCCTCCACTAGTGAAAAGATTTTGACCAGAAGAACAGACATGCACGCTGGGAGGCCAGTTTACCCTGACAGCTGGAGTCAGGGGCAGACTTGTTCTTGGTCTGGCCATCTGATCCTCCAAAGACAAAAGGTTGGAAAGACAAGGGTGGGTTACCTGCCAGCCGTCCCAGGCCCCCGTTCCCAAGGCCAGCATCCTCTTCTATTTCCTCTAGCTCCTCCATGTCCAACCCCAACTGTGAACAAAAAAGGCAGAATTTCAGTATTACTTTATATTTCCCTCAAACACTACGTTGAAAGATGTTTAAATCTTATGAGCTTACACCAAAAACAAGTATCTTTCTTTTTCTTTTTCTTTTTTTGGTGCCAATCCTGGGGCTTGAACTCAGAGCCTGGGCACTGTCCCTGAGCTTAGCACTCTACCACTAGAGCCATGGCACCACTTCTGGCTTTTTCAGTTTATATGGAGGAACTGAACCCAGGGATTCATGCATACTAGGCAAGCACTCTACCACTAAGCTATGTTCCTAGCCCACAAGTATCTTTCTTTTAGAATTAAAAACCCAATATTAAATTTAGTATTACACAAGGCATAGCATTGATTGAAATATAGTGTTAACATGTGTGGAGATATTAAAAAAAAACCACATGAGCCAATTTTAAAAAAGGGACAAAATTTTGCCCAAGTGGGGTAACCTTTTTAAGTTTATAACACCAAAGGAAACCTTTCTTATCTACTTTCTGTCTCATGCATTGCCCACTGCAGATATCTAAATGCAAACACCCAATATGTGACCTTTGATGGCCAGCTTTCAAGCACATAACGCTGTCAATGTTCAACTATGTAAGTAGATATCAGCACTTCAATCAGCTTTTATTAGGAGGTTGCTGGGGATTGAACCCAGAGTCTAGTGTATGTTAGGTAAGCTCTCTGTCACTGAGCTACATCCTCATCCCTGTTGTTCAGTACAATATGGCTATACTACATTCTGTTTATCCATTTACCAACTGATGAACATCTCTATGATTTCCACCTTGGTTTATTGTGAATATCTATACTGCTATGAAATTCATGTACATTTTATGTGTAGATATGATTTCATGTCTCTCAGGCATATACCTTGGAGTGTAATTGCTAAGTTAAATGGTAATTCCATGCTTGACTTGTTGAGTAACTGCTGGTTCACTTTCAAAATGACTGCAACCAGCATTTTCTAATCACACCAGCCAACAGTATATGAGGGCTCCACTTTGGTATCTTAACCAACACTTGTCCTCCATCCTTCTGTCCTTATATCATTCTAGTGGTCATTAAGTGGCCTGGTTTTGGTTTGCATTTCTTTGGTACTAACAACAAAGAGCATCTTTTAATGTGCTTGTTGACCATTTTTAGCTTTGGAAAAATGTCCATTTAAGACCTTCACTCATTTTTAAACTGCATTGTCTTTCCATTTTTGAGCTGAAAGAGTTCTTTATATATTTTAGATACACAAACCATTCATTATCAGATCGTTTGCTTATTTTTTAACATTGTCATACTATGTTACTTAGCCTGGTTTCTAAATCCTAGGCTCAAGAAATCCTCCCTTTCCAGACTCCCAAGGAGCTGAGACAACAGGAATGGCTACCACATCCAGCACAGATTTATGATTTACAAAATGTTCTCCCATTTTGTATGGTGTCTGTCCTTTCCCTTTCCTCCTCTTTTTTAGGTGCTACAGATTAAACCCAGCTCTACTTTCTTCATATTTGATGAACACAAATTTTAAGTTTTGATGAAGCCCAATGTGTTGGCTTTTATTTGTGCTTTTGACATCATAACTAAAAAACCACTGCCTCTTCTCTACATATTCTTTTAAAGGTTTCAGAGTTTAGCTCTTTTGTTTAGCATGATCCATTTTGAGCTTTAATCTGTATGCAATGTGAGGTAGGTGTTCAACTCTTATCATTTGCATGTGAATATCAAATATCCAGCATCACTTGCTGAAATGACTGTTCTCTGTTGAATTGTTTTGTCATACCTTCCTTAAAAAAAGAAGCAAAAAACTGGTCATGTGTGATACCAAAGGCAAAGAAACATGAAAAAAGCAGGACTTCATAAAGGTTTTTAATTTTTTTATATGCAACAGCATATACACAAGACAATATGTTGGAAATGATCTGTACAATTGGGGAGGTGGCCAGGAGAGGGAAAGTAGGAGAAAATTGAGGGAAGTGGTAACAAAGTTTGACAAGAAATGTACTTATTACCCTATTTATGTACCTGTAACCCCTCTGTACATCACCTTAGCATATATATATATATATATATATATATATATATACACACCTATATCTACATATATAGGTAGGTATATATATATATATATATATATATATACATGGAAAAACTGGTCACGTGTGACACCAAAGGCAAAGGGAACGTGAAAAAACAAGCAGGGCTTCATACAGGTTTTTAAATGTTGTGAACCATAGGACACTATGGTTTTTTTCCTACTCACAGAGTAGGAAAAAAAAAATTGCCAACCACATATTTAACAAACCATAAGTATCAAGAATGGATAGAAAATTCAATATTCAATGGATTAAAATTCAATACCAAGAAACAACCTGGCCAGATGCTTGTGGCTCACACCTGTAATCCTAGCTACTCAGGAGGATGAGATCTAAGAGTCACAGTTCAAAGCCAGCTTAAGCAGGAAAGTCTATTAGACTCTTAGTTCCAATTAACCATTAAAAAAGCCAAAAGTGGAGCTGTGGCTCAAGTGGTAGAGTTCTAGTCTTGAGCACAAAAGCTCAGGGACAGTGCCTAGGCCCTGAGTTCAAGTCCTAGGACTGACCCAGACAAAAATAACAATTAAAAAACCTTATTTTGAAATGGGCACTAGGATCTGGGAATGTGGCTTAGTGGTAGAGTGCTTGTCTAGCATGCATAAAGCCCTGCATGTGACTCCTCAGCACACATAAACAAAAAATGCCAGATATGGTACTGTAGCTCAAGTGGTAAAGTGCTAGCCTTGAGCAAAAGAAGCTCAGGGTCAGTGCTTAGGCCCTGAGTTCAAGCTCCAGGACAGGCCAAAAAAAAGGGGGGGGGCACTAGACTTGAACTGATTTTTCTTCAAATAAGATAACCAATAGGGCTGGGAAGGTGGCTCAGTGGTAGAGCACTTGCCTTGCATGCCTGAGGCCCTGGGTTCGATTCTTCAGCACCACATAAGCAAAAAGAAAAAAGCCGGAAGTGGCACCGTGGCTCTCACTAGCTTTGAGCTGAAGAGCTGAGGGACAGCGCCCAGGCCCAGAGTTCAGGCCCCACAACCGGACCCCCCCCCCCCAAAAAAAAAAGATAACCAATAGGCAATAAGCATATGCATATGTGCTCAACATCACGAATAATTAGAGAAATGGCAAAGAAAACCATACTGTGAGCAATGTACTAGTGGTTCATTCTTGTAATCCTGGCTATTCAGAAGGCTGAGATTTGATGATCATAGTTCAAAGGCAGCTTGGGCAGGAAAGTCTGTGAGACTTATCTCTTAATTAACCACAAAAAGCCAAGAGTGGAGCTGTGGCGCAAGTGGTAGAGTGCTAGTCTTGAGCACTAAAGCTTAGGGACAGCATCCAGGTCCAGGGGACCAGCAAAAGAGAGAGAGAGGAAGTGAGGAAGAGAGGGAAGGAGGGAGGGAATTTCATTAGTGAAGATGTGGAAATAAAATAAATTCTTTGTGCATTTCTATAAAATGGTATAGCCACTGTGAAAAAGGTACAGAAATCACGTGATTCAATCATCCACCTCTCAAAGTAGTAAAAGCAAGGAATTGGAGAGGTGTTTGTACACCATATTCACAGTAGCATTATTCACAGTAATCAAAAGATGAACAAATACACAAAATATAGTACTTATATATCGTTGAAAATTATTCAGCCTGAAAAAACAATGAAGTACTGACATAAGCTGCAACACAGATGAACAGGACATTTTACTGTGTGAAATAAGCCAGTTACCAAAGCACATACATTCTGTGATCTCACTTTTTTGTGGTACTACTGGTACTGGGGCTTGAAGTTGCCCTTGCGCTTTTGGTTTTTTCCCTATAGCTTGTTCTCTACCAATTAAGCCACATTTCTACTTCCAGCTTTTTTTTTTCTAGTTAATTAGCTATAAGAATCTCAGGTGTAAGCCACCAGTGCCCAGCATATGATTCCATTCTTATAAAATACCTAAAGCAGAACACATTAATAAAAATCAAAATGTTAGTTTCCAAAGCCTGAAGAGAAGGAAATAGGAAGTTACTTTTTAATTAGGTATATAGTTTCAGTCTGGGAAAATCAAGATTTTTCTGGGGATGGATGGTAGTGATAGTTGCAGAATAGTATAAATGACCAGATGCTGGTGGCTGATGCCTGTAATCCAAGCTACTCAGGAGGATGAGATCTGGTGGATCACAGTTTGAGCCTAGCCAGGCAGAAAAAATAGTCTGTGAGACTCCCAACTCCAAAATAACCAGCAAAAAGCCAGGCTGGAGATGTGGCTCAAGAGGTAGAATACCAGCTGAGTGAGCGGGCAAACCAAGTGAGTGTAAGAGCTATAGTATCTTAGTATCACCAAATCTTATTATCACCAAAAATATAACCATTATTTTGGTAGAACATTTTAAGCAATAGCTTCCTATGTTAGGGGAAATGCCCTGCTCTGTTTTGTAGCCCAACTGAAATTACATGCTGCAGCTGCTATTGGTCCACTAAGTCTTTGCTATGGACTGCATAAGATATGTTCCCACAAGATTGCATGAAATTGCAGAGCTTCTGCATGGCAAAGGACAGAGCTGGCAAGATCAATAGAAAGCCTACGGACTGGGAGAAGATCTTCACTAGCCATACAATGGACAAGGGTCTCATATCTAAAATATACCTTGAACTCAAAAAATTAAATCCCCAACCACAAATCTTCAAAGAAACAACTGCCCAATAAACAAGTGGGCTAAAGACTTAAAGAGAAACTTCTCTGAAGAGGAAAGAAGGATGGCCAATAGACACATGAAGAAATGCTCAACCTCTCTAGCCACAAAAGAAATGCAAATCAAAACAACATTGAGATACCACCTCACCCAAGTTAGAATGGCTATAATCAAGAACTTTAATAACAACAGATGCTGGAGGGGATGTGGACAGAAGGGAACCTTACTGCATTGTTGGTGGGAGTGTAAACTTGTTCAACCACTTTGGAAAGTAGTATGGAGGTTCCTCAAAAGACTCCACATAGAGTTCCCCTATGACCCAGCAATCCCACTTTTGGGCATTTACCCAAATGTTCACAAACAAGACCACACTAAAGCTACCAGCACGACTATGTTTATTGCAGCCTTATTTACCATAGGTAAGATATGGAACCAACCCAGATGCCCCTCAGTAGATGAATGGATCAAGAAAATGTGGTATATATACACAATGGAATTCTATGCCTCCAGCAGAGAGAATGACATTGCCCCATTTGATAGGAAATGGAAAGACTTGGAAAAAATTATATTAAGTGAAGTAAGCCAGGCCCAAAGAAACATAGGTCCCATGGTTTCCCTTATTTGCAACAACTAGTATATGTCTGAGTCAAGCAGAAAAGGTCAGATAAGTTGCTGTTAGGGAAATGAACCCTAAGATATGTATTCAAATGTTTTTTTCTTTCATGTGATTGTTTCTAACACATTTATAAGATGATTTCTATATTGCTTTCTATGTCCCTCCCCCACGGTATAACCCCTGCTTTCACTGTATTTGATGTTGGTATAATTTGTGGAGAGGAAGGGAAAAACAAATTGTTTAAATAGGGATACAGGTGGACCCATTGCAACAATGAGATGTACAAGTCCTTTCGGTGAAAACGAACTTTACAACTTTGGTGGGGGGAGTAAGGGGTGGGGGAGTGAGGGGAGGATGGGAAGGGATGGCAAGAGGAAACAAAGGAGGAGGCTACAATGCTTGATAAGAAATGTACTCATTGTCTTGCCCATGTAATTGTAACCCCTCTGTACAGTATTTTCACAATTAAAAAAAATTTTTTTTCAAAAAAAAAAAAAAAAAAGATTGTCCCCACAAGACTGTGTAGGTACTCAATGCAGGTGGGGTCTTGAGTGGTGACTATATCATGAGAACCCTGATCTCATCTATGGATGAATTCACTGGTGGGTTCACAGCAGAATGGACTATTACGAGGTGGAGTCTAGTTAGAGGAAGCAGGTGACTGGGCCATGCCCTGAAAGGTATTCATTCACTACTGCCTCTGCTTGCTCTCTCTCTCTCTCTCTCTCTCTCTCTCTCTCTCTCTCTCTCTCTCTCTCTCTCTCTCTCTGCTTTCTGGTTGCCACAGAGTATCTTTTCCCACCACAAGCTCCTGCCACCATGATACACTGCCTCACCTCAGGCCCAATGAGATCGCTGAAACCATAAGCTCAACTGAACCTTTCAAGTTTTTTTCCCCCCTCAAGTATTTTGTGACAACAATGTTACATTTTACTAACAAAGCCATGGAGGAAGAGGTAGGGGTCCTAAGAAGGCTAAATCATCTCATAACCATGGCTGGATTTATGTTCCAACAAAGCTCCCAAGCTCCTCAAACCCAACAAGAACCGAGGCAGGAGCAGGGTGCTAGTAGGAAAACCCCTCTCTGAAGGCTTTCCCACATTCGTATCAATAAGGAGGCAGCTGCAAACTTCAGTGGAGACAAGTATACCAGGGAAAACAGAGGGGAGATATTTGTACGGCTTTACTAAAGGCCAGAAATCATCTGTGCAGCGATGAAGTACAAAGGGAGCCTACAGGAAAGGAGACATTTATTCTCATGAAGCGAGGGGCCCTCGCTTAATCAGCAAGTACAGTGAGCTCAGGAGGCTTCCTGGAGGTGGGAGAAGGAAACCAGAGACCAATTACCAGTTTAAAAAAATAAAAATGCAGTACCAGCATCTTTTACCATGTTTTAAGCCTATAGCAAGGGCTGCAATGTTTTCTAGAAACTGCTAAATCTAAGCATTAGGCTTCATCCCATCTTCGTGCTCCTCGTTTTATTATTCTTCAAATTCTTACTTTCTTCCTTTGGAGAAGGGGAGCATGGCCCACCAACCCATTCTCCTCTGAAAGGGGAGAACATACTAATGCACATTTGCCCTTCCCCCGGGTAGCAAATCTTGATATTCTCACGTCTGAGAGAAACTGTATTAAAACCTCAGTGTGCCACAAGAGAACATCCAGAAGCCTGGCCAAGAGGACTCCCCCTCTCCCCCCCCCCCCCACCCCCGCCCCGTACCTGATAAATGGCTTCATCACAAGCATTTTGCAGGCCCAGGTTCACCATTGTGTTCTGCAGCGTTCGGCCCATGTAGAATTCCAGGGACAGGTAATAAATGCGCTGTGAAAGGAAAGGAAGACTTTTAGATTTCCCGCACCAGGAAGGCTGAGTGACGAGCACATTCATGAGGCACTGAGGTAAGACTTTCCCCTCCCATCATCCCATACTGCCTCCGCACTTGCAAGGGCAGCCACCTGGGGCCCTTCAAATGCATAGCACTTTCCCATGGGCAAGTCCCCACTGGAAATACACTAGACTTCCCTGAGGTGCAGGAGAAAAACAACAAAGGAAAACCCTGAGTGCACAGGTCCTCCCTTGTCCTTTGGCAGTACTGGTATTTCAACTCAGGGCCTTGTGCTTGCTATTCAGGCACTCTACTACTTGAACCATGACCTCAACCCTTTCTTAGTTATTTTTCAATAGGGTCTCCCATTTTTGCCCAGGCTGGCCTGGACCACAATTCTCCTATTTATGTATGCCTTCTACATAGCTGTGATGATAGGTGCACATTGCCAACTGACTGAAATGGAGTCTCCCTGGGCTTTTTCTTTGCCTGGGATAGCCTCCCTTTTTGATCCTCCTGATGTCAGCCTCCAGAGTAGCTGATAATGCAGGTCTGTGTCACCCACCTGAGCACAGCTTTGAAATACACATGAAGTACTATTATAATAAACATCAGTGCAGGAGTGGGGGGGGCAGGAGGGAAAAACTGGGAGAAAATGAGGGAGGGGGTGACACTGTTAAAGAAATGTACTCATGATCTGACCGATGATGTAACTGTAACCCCTTGGTCCATCACCTTTACAATCATTTTTTTTTAAATCATAGTGTGGTCAGCAGATGCTGGTGGCTGAATGGGGGCACCATTTCCACTAGGCACAGGTATATTTGCCTGCAGGTGGGTGGAGTGGCTTTGTGTGGGGGCAGGTGATGTGCACTACTTCCATGCTAAGTGAGGTGCTGTATAACTGTTGCCAGACAGACTGCTCCTGGACTAAGCAGAGCATTAAGAGCTCTAGTTGTGGCTCAGAAACCACTATCCCCCAAGAGCTGAGCTCAGACTTGCTTAGAAGCCTGAGGCAAGCTCCTCTGTGGCCCCCTATTCAGCACAGGGGTGGCTTTCAGGAGAGGCTTTCAGGAGAGTTCCCTTATCTACCTGACTGATCACTCAGAAAAGAAACACAATAGTTTCCTGTCTTCTCAAATTTTTGCAAACTAGAAAACACTGAACTAAATGTGGGGAGCAAAGACTGAAGTCTATCAACAGGCCAGGCCAGACTTCGGTTACACTCCATTGTCCTCTACCTCAGTCCCATTCAGCGGGTGCAGAGAATCACAAACACTGTTCTGGGAGCCAAGACAACCTTGTGAATTCCAAAGTAGATTCTCTTAATGAATGCCCCTGAAAACTGGATTGTCCACTCAATTCCTTTCAAGGCACTTGCTGTTCCTCTAGAAACTGCTTTCTGTCTTAGGAAAAGGGTATTTATTTAGTTCCAACTACCTGTGGCTCAGTTTCTACTGCTCCCTGTTGTGCTATCAAAGACAGGGCCTAGAGGGAAAACAACGTCCTTACAGAAGAACTCTAACAGACAAACAGAATGAGCAGAACAAAAAAACCACTCTGAGATCCCACAGTAACAACCAAGGGAAGTGGGAGTCATGGCTGAACACTGAAGCCAATGGGTATAGCAAAAAGAGTGACAGTCCTGCATGGCCTCCATGGAGCCCCCAAATACTTTCTGATCTCTGCAGTGACTGTAAAAACAGCTAAAACAGCTGAATTCCTCACACTGGAGGGTGGGCCAAACTCTGCCTTACCCCCAGAGTGGCAGCTTGGAAAGTGAGCTATGGTAACATCAGCCACACTGATCAGGTACTGGGATATGACATAGGGAGAACTCTGGGGTCTATCCCACCTTATCTCCACATGAATCTCTCTAGACAACATTTGACAAACCCAACTGAAGGATGTGCTATGAAATTCCTAACCAGTACTCATCAAATCTATCAAGATTATAAAAGACAAGAGGAGATAAACACAGCAATGCTTAGGCTTTTAGAATTAATAAATAACTTCAGTAAGGAAGCAGAATTCAAGATTAATACATTATTAATGTTTATAGTCACATAATAATTAACAATTATTCATGTTTAACTATATTAATAAAATTATTAATTATTAATGCAAAATACATTAGATTGAGATAGGCCAAATTCATGACTGGAATTTGAACTCAGGGCCTTGTGTTTGCTAGCAGGTAGTGCTCTACCATTTGGGTCATTGTTCTTTTGTACCAAATCACACCAACACATGAGGGGCCAAAAAATTCATAAGCATATACTTATCCAAAAAGACAAAAAAAGATAGGATTACAAAGTAAGTCCAATCTTTGATTACCTGTTTCTCCTTTCTGGATCATTTGAATGTCTTCTAAAATTCTACCCAAATTCCAATATCCTTTAAATTACAAAATCCTCACAGAGCCTGTCAGTATACCTGCTCTTACAATGGCTCACAGTCCATTGCTTCACTGACTTCCATCACCTTGCACTGTATTTATACTGCACTTGGCCCAACTTATTTTATGGGGTTTACATAGTGAAAAGGAAGCATGAACTCTGTCCAGGCAGGTCTGCTAACAAAGGAGTAATATACTAAGCCAATTAGAACCCAACTGCTTAAGAAAATACTGCCAATTAAATGTTCACACACAGCAATCTCCTTTTTCCTATCTATTGGTACTTCCCTCTTCCAGGGGGATCAGTTCCAAAACCCCCAAGGACACCTGAAACTGTAGATAGTACCAAATCCTACACAGACTGAGCACTGATCACCTGAAAACTTCTGAAAAGATGAAGTACACAAATACTTCAAACTTTCAAATTCAAAAACACTGCTGGCTCCATGCATTTCAGATAGGAATACACAACCAGAATATATTGTTATTTTCTCTACACACATATACTTATGGTCATATTTTAATGTATAAATTCAACACAGTAAGGGATTAACAGCAAGACTTACAAAAGGAAAATAATATTACTATTTGAAAAAATATATAACAATATGCTACAATGAAAGTGTGTGAATGTGGCTTCTCAAAAATACCTTACTGTGCTGTAGATCTCAGCAACATCTATGTATAACTTTTTCTTTTTTCTTTTCTCTTTTGCAAGTCCTGGGGCTTGAACTCAGGCCCTGGACACTGTCCCTAAGTTTCTTTTGCTCAAGGCTAGCACTCTACCACTTGAGCCACAGTGCCACCTCCAGCCTTTTCTGTTTATGTGGTACTCAGGAATTGAACCCAGGGCTTCATGCATGCCAGGCAAGCACTCTACCACTAAGCCAAGCCACATTCCTAGCTGCGCTTTTTTTTTTTCTTTCTTTTTTTTTTTTGGGGGGGTCCGGTCGTGGGGTCTGAACTCAGAGCCTGGGCGCTGTCCCTCAGCTCTTCAGCTCAAGGCTAGCGCTCTACCACTTGGGCCATAGCACCACTTCCGGCTTTTTTCTTTTTGCTTATGTGGTGCTGAGGAATCGAACTCAGGGCCTCAGGCATGCAAGGCAAGCACTCTACCACTGAGCCACCTTCCCAGGCCTGCTTTTTTATTTTCAAGGTCAAGAACTTCTACATTCTCATTTAAAATAAGCACTTGATAGCTTTAAAAAAAATATTCAAATAGCATTACTATTTTTGTGCTTTGGGGCCTTAAACAAAACTTCCTTGAGCACATGCCCTGTAATACTGCAAGAGACCATATTACAAATGAAAGAACCACATAAGGGTATACACAGTGTGCACCTGTTGAACATAGGAATGACTCTTGACTCAGGCAAAGCTGGATTTGTGCAAGATGGTATCATAGTACTGTGAATAACATGCAATTTAAAACACATGGATTTACATCTGTAATTTGCTGAACATCATATCACAACTGACCACAGGTAGTGGAAACTGGAGACAATGAAAGCCCAGGAGAAGGGAATTTCTGACACACAGTACTGTTTATCTCCCCATTTATCTTGGAGTTCTTCCCAAGAAGTTTTCTGAATGGTTAACCACTGAAGAATATGGTTAAATGCTTTGATTTTGTCTTTTCCTAAAAGTATTTATTTTAAAAGTTCTAACAGCTTAATCTTTCAGACAAAATATCATTTTTGTCTCCCTTACCTCTTCTTCCTCCCTTCCCTCCCCTCTTTTGCCCCAGCTCCCCAGTCCTGGGGATTGAATTCAAGGCCTGGATGCTAACACTAAACTTCCTTTGCACAAAGCTATCATTCTATCACTTGAGCCACAGTGCCACTTACAGCTTTTTCTGAATAGTTTATTGGAGATAGGAGTCCCACAGACTTCCATGCCTGGGCTGGCTCTGAAGTGCAATCCTCAGATCCCAGTTTCCTGTGGCTACGATTACAACAGGTATGAGCCACTGGCGCCCAGCTCCAAATGTCTACCTTTTATCTGTCACTAGAAAAAGTAAAGTCTAACAGTTGATCTCCAAGAGTATGATTACCTGTACTTACAAGGACTGGTCACTGAGGCATAAAATGTTGGACCTAGACTCAAAAAAAAAAATTAAATTCTTTTTCATTTTCCTAAGTTTAACACCATGCAACCTCCCAAGCAGTGCCGTGTATATAAGCAGAGCAGCAGTGTGGTCCCCAGGTCTGCTGAATAGATCTATCAAAGGACACTAGACACTATCTAGCCATTGAAGACTATATGGGGTAGGCAACAGGCCAAGCACTGCTACAGGCTCTGCTCAGCTCCAAGAACCGGACTTCAGGACTACATGATGTTGTGTTGTGATGTGTGCAACTTGCTATAAGAACTTCCATACTTCCTCAGTTGTTGAGTTTGTTTTGTTCCAGTTTCCTGAAGATAGTTTATACCATCAAACTTAAAGAGGCTTGCCAGAGGGGTTACACAAGAAAATGTAGACTTGACTTTTACAGGCAGTAGTCTGATCCCTACTGTCTGCCCCAGCCACCTGGGAGAACCAGGGCAAAATGGCTCACTCTCAGTGAACACCACAGCCACTCCAGGATTTACATGGGG